CCCCTCACCCCCTTTCTTTTTTTTTGCTGGTTATTGGTTCTCTTCCCTTTTTAACCGAACAAAAAAAAAAAAAAAAAAACTCAAAAAAAAAAAAAAAAAAAAAAAAAAAGAAAAACGAAAAAAATAATACAAAAATTTAGCACACATGTACCAATTAGTTGAAGAAAAAAAGATAAGGATATGAAAAAAAAAAAGTTCAGCAAGGACGTAGTCCACATTTCTACTGGGGCACTTGCTGGGCCGTGGGGCCCGAATACCAGTGAGATGAAGGGCCCAAATTGTCTGCATTGCCTGGGCGGCGATGCCTGGGCAGTACGGTAGGAACCAGGGCAGTACTCAGTAGTTATTCGGCGGTGTATTTCACCTTCTAGCCAATACACTTTTGTCTGGTCATTAACTTTCCAGCAGCAAGAAAAAGTCCCTTAAAAAAAAGTCAAAAAAAAAAAAAATAAAAAAAAAACTATTACTAAACTGAAAAATAAAAAAGTTTTATTGAAAAAAACTATTGCCTTTTTTTGTTTGACACAGCGTATTTGCACCCACCACCACCAGCACAGCTAGCTCCCTGCCAGCTCACACCCCTCTCCTGGCACTTTTAACCCAATCATCCGCTCCCAATACGTGCATTGACCTTGCCCAGCGCCTATACCTCTTCAATGGTCGGCAAAACTCGCTTCCGTGTCGTATCCTTAACGAGTTTAGCCCTCTACTGTGTCTCTCTTATTTCTATGGCCCGTAAAAAAAGTTTTCGGAGGGAAAATTTTTTCTCACCCAAATCCTGGCGGACGCCACATAGTTCGAGACAAATAAAAAAAAATTAAAAATTAGAAAAATTTAAAAAAAAAAAAAAAAAAAAAGGAAAATTTTTATCTCATAATTATCTTGCTTGCACTCCATTTACTCCATTCGAAGAAATTTAACTTATCTCTCTTCTTTTCCCTTGCCTCCTTCTTTTCTTCTCCCAAGTCTTGCCCAGTGTGCTCTCTGTCCTTTCTGATCCATTCCCTGAGTTTCAGCAACTATAGTCAGAGTGGAATTCGATTTTGGTCCATACAATTCTGAATCTACCTACTACCCCACCAAAAAAAAAAGTCCAGCTAAGACAGACCAAGAGAAAAAAAAAAATATTAGACCACCCTCCCACCCAAATCAAGTCCACACTGATCAGGTAACAACTACACTGACTAACTAACTGAACTTGAACTTCCCTCGCTCGGCTTGACACACTTCGCGCCCATCTGCAACCCACCCCTGGACGTGCCTAAAGCCTCATACCACACCGTCCTGGCCCCTCTACACTCCCTACCGTACCACCCCCAGTACCTTGAGCTTCCGCGTCGTCTCTCGCCAGTCGGAAATAAAAAAAAACTACCCCCAAAAGAGGTACTTGGTTCTTGCATATAGCTCAGAGCGCCAGACCTGCACATAATCCCGTGTCCCCCTGCACATAGCCCAGCTCCAGCTCCCTCCCGCTGAGCATCACTAATAACTGACCACGCCGTTGTACACCCCACAAACACCATGAAGAAGCCAGAAAGACGTCAATCAATGGCTGAAAGAAGACCCAGCGTCTCTGTGATCCCCCACTTGGCCGGGCTCGAAAAACCGCAGGACCACTCGTTGAAGTTGGACCACTGTGATGTGTTAATATTGGGCACTGGACTCAGTGAGAGTATATTGGCAGCTGCCCTCTCGTGGCAGGGTGTTGAAGTACTCCACATTGACGGCCAGCCCTACTATGGAGACCACCTGTCCACTCTCACCGTGGATCAGATGAAGAAATGGTCGCTGGAAGTGAACCAGGGCAAAATCAAGCATTTCAAGGACGCCCAGGTATACATTCCTGGGGGCAAGTCCACCAACAAGTTCAACAGCAAGGACTACGGCATTGATCTTTCACCCAAGGTAATGTTTGCCAAGCTGGACTTGTTGCTGTTGCTCGTTCAGTCAAGAGTGTACAAGTATTTGGAGTTCCAGAGCTTGTCTAGTTTCCACGTCTTTGAGAACGACAACTTCAGCAAGAACATCTCGTCCACCTCCACCAAGGGTGACATCTTCACAGACCAGTCGTTGAGCTTGGTCACGAAGCGGTACCTCATGAAGTTCTTGAAGTTTGTGCTTCAAGACAATAACGACGAGCTGAAGTTGAAGATCATCAAGGAGAACGCCAACACCTCGATTGAAGACTTCTTGAGCAAGACCTACAAGTTGGATACTCCACAGATCAACGAGTTGATCTTCTCCATTGGCTTGTGCAACAAGCCCAACATTAAAACTCCCGAAGCCTTGCTCAAAATCAAGAGATTCTTGGTTTCGTTCGACGTTTACGGGAACTTCCCAGTCATGGTTCTGAAATACGGAGGTCCAGGCGAGATCTCACAGGGCTTTTGTAGAAGTGCAGCAGTTGCAGGTACAACTTATAAGTTAGATACTTCGATCATCGATTTTGATCCAGAGCTGAAGGTAGCCAAGTTTAATGATGGCTCAGCTGTCAAAGTCAATGAGAAGATTGTCATATCACCAACACAAATCCCGAAATTCTTAAACACAGAATACCAAGATCTCATCTCTTCCAAGAACTTACCAGTCTACAACATCACAAGGTTGATTTCCATTGTGAAAAGAGACTGCAGTGAATGGTTGTCTGAACATGAATCTTCAGCCGTCGTAGTGTTCCCCCCATTTTCCTTGCCCACAGAGAACGCCGAGGCTGTTCAAGTCATCATACAGAGTGGGAACTCAGGCGTATGTCCTGTAGGCCAATCTATATGGTACTCGCACACCACAGAGCAAAATGTAGACAAGGCTAAGGATGATCTACAGGCTGCTTTTGAAAAGATGGAAGCATCCATATTGAGAGAGCTGTCAACCGCTGATTTGGAAGATGTTTTGGATGAAAAAGATTTCATAATGAGCGCCCAAGGAACGCCAGTTCTTGTTAATTCATTCAAATTAGGGAAGAGCTTACAAAATTTCGTGCCAAAGGATAAATTAGAGATTGTTTGTAAGATTGGATACGTTCAAGAGACATTAATTGATCCAAGTTTGTCTAATATCTTGAATGCTTCCGAGTCAAACAACATTTCATTGGCTGATTGTAAGGATTCCCAAGATATCATTTTCACCAATATGCCAACTTCCGAGTTGAGTTACGATGGAGTGGTGAGCGACTGTAAATTGCTTTATTCCAGAATAACAGGAACTGACGACGATTTCTTTGATGTGGATTTTGAAGACGATGACGAAGACGATGAGTACAGTAGTAAGACCGGAAACCAGGCACGCGGAAGTGTCCCAACTGCTAGCGGAATGAACCATAATGACAATGACAATGCTATAGCAGATAGCGACGATGATGAAGACCATCACGAACCATTTGGTGCTGATGAAATGGAATTGTAGTAAACTTATTTATATGTTTCGGCAGATGTAATAATATACAATGAATAATACACATTAGTGAAGCTAGGCTCATGCTTGTGTAAACTGTAATTGTAATCCGGTGAAGGGAATTGTAATTAAATGTATGTAGACCAACTTGATTAAATTATAGTAGAGCCCCATGCCCATAGGAGGTAAGATAGCCGGAATGAACAGACTGTCACCATGCTAGTTCACACGAATACTATAACTAATAGAGAGATCTGAGTCACTTCTTGTAAAATGAATGAGGGTAGAGAGCTTTTGTATGAGAAAAATACATCCTGTAAGTTGAGCACAGTGGGCTCTTGAATAAGAAGATACCACTCTAATGTAAGATGGACAAATGACAACTCAGAGAAGTATTGGCCCATACAGATGTGGAATATATTTGCACCCATTGAGAGCCGCATACAACTGCAGCACAACAGTCTGTGACTAGGATGCCCTAAAGTTCGTATATCAAGTGACAAATGAAGAATGTGAGAATTAGAGCTAACTGGGACAGTTCCCACGTTAGAGCAGATTTATCTGGGGCTCCACTTTTCCTAATGACTTGAAGATCGTCGGACGTTGCTTTTAGCCTAAATAGTCGATATTATCTGAAATAGGTGAGCATTTACGAGAATTTACGAGATACTCAGCATGAATCTCAGCGAACGACTACTGAGCCTCAGAGGGAGATTTATGTAGCAGAGAGTAAGTACAGCTTGGTCTCGAGCAGTAGCTTACGTGCTGCAGACTCAGATACATTCACTAAGGGAAAAGGAAAGTAAAGTATTATAAGGCGGGCTCCAGTGAGCACCAAGTTGATTGTCTACCATGATGCAGCAGAAAGATGAAAGAGAATGAAGCGCACGTAGACCAGTAGCCCAGAACCGCAGTAATAGCAAAGATAGGTACCTCAGAAACTGCCAGTAGGCTATTATTACATGATTTAATCGGCTAATAAACTGTTAGATGGGAGAACCCTCTCTCTGCTCTCTGTCGCTCTACTGAGCAGCATTGAGGGACTGCATATACTGCAATGTTGCACCTATGCACCACCCTTCTTCAACAGCAATAAACAAAAACAGCCTAGCAACAACTCCTCCAACTCCAACCGCAGATCTCATAGATCCCATACACAGACCGATCTTAGCATCCCCCTTTGAACATCTACACCAAACACCCATCAGCCCTACAGCCATAAACCCTTCAACGCATCAACACCTTCACCTCCATGACACGTGACTCTCTAGGGCTCCACCCCTACGTGCGCATTTTTTCCTCCAATTTTTCGCATGGAGGTGGTGAAAAATTCATCAACATACTTCCTCAAGTCTTCGTCTTTGGCATTCCTTTCCTTTCTTCTTTCTTTTCTTCATAGTCTATAGCACTGAGCAGTTTATACATACCTGTCGAAGAAGTCTAAATAATATTAATAATGTCTGACGTTGAAGAACAAACTATTGTCGAAGAAGTTGCCGTTGAACAAGTTGAAGCCGGTTCTATCTCCATTGAAGATGCCTTAAAGGTTGTCTTAAGAACCTCTTTAGTTCACGATGGTTTAGCCAGAGGTTTAAGAGAAGCTTCCAAGGCTTTATCTAGAGGTGAAGCTCAATTATGTGTCTTATGTGACTCTGTCACTGAAGAATCAATCATTAAGTTGGTTGAAGCTTTATGTAACGAACCAGAAGAACCAATCCCATTGATCAAGGTCTCTGACGCCAAGTTATTAGGTGAATGGGCCGGTCTTTGTCAATTAGACAGAGAAGGTAACGCCAGAAAGGTCGTTGGTGCTTCTTGTGTTGTTGTCAAGAACTGGGGTGCTGACTCTGACGAAAGAAACATTTTGTTAGAGCACTTCTCTCAACAATAAATACTTTAACTTTTGCCGCAGTATCAAATTCATTTTTGCATACACTTTATTAGTAATATAATACATAGCTATTAGTTAAACCAGGACACTGTAGTACATGAATGTAGATGGGTGTAGTAAGATAAAATAAAAAAAATGATAATAACCTAGCACTAGAACTAATTATGTTACCCCCAATCATCCTTTATCAGCGCCTGCCCTCCCTAAATTCTCTTCACAATAACGCTTTACCCGCTCTCTAACTCACCACTCCGTGGTGCTCTGGAGCGTTTCGCAGTAGCGAAAACTTTTGGTGATGTTTCTCTGTGTGGGTGTACGGGTGTTCAACGGTGCGCATGGCTTTACGAAGCTTGTTTACGTTTCAGTGACGTGTAGTGACACCTGTTTATCCTGACAGATCCACATATATATAAGCAACGATGCCATCTCCCGAGCGATTGGTGAAGCGAGAGTCTAGGACAAGAGGTGCAGCGTAAGTAATACAGTGAAAAGCAACGTAGATACGCATATCTGTGGACTTTCTTCTCCATGGTTGATCTGGTGTACTAACCCATCGATAGGCGTAGGCAAGTTAATGTAGACTCTTTTGAGGTGAAACCGCTACAGAATTATGAGCGGTCGAGGGTGCTGATTGAAGGGTACAAGCCGAAGCTGTTGAAATCGGCGCTAGTGAACGACCACGACCTTGACACGTTACCTAGGTTGAGAAGACCAAGCTCAATACTTCCCAGGCATGATTCACGCGGGCCGGAGATCAAGCTGGAGGAACCAGGCGTCATTGAGACCCCTAGGAAGCAACTAACCAGTAGAAGTGCATCGCGGTACGGCGGGACCCACGATAGAAGCGACGCAGACGACGACTTTGATCACGAGGACGACTTATTTGTAGATGAGCCGGAGCCCGAGGCTTCCCCCATCATCACACCAAGACGGTCTAAGAGGATCTTAGACAGGCTCACCACCAGGTCAAACAAATTGAACAAATTGTTTACACAGGCGAAAGCGTCCAGACCTCTCCGGAGCAGAGAATCAGAAAAGAAGGCCGAGACTACCGTGCAGAAGAGGGCACCGGCTGCACGCAAGGCAGTGCCGAAAGTAGTGAAACCCAAAGTCGCCCAGAAGGCTGCAGAACTGCCAGTGACAGTGCCCAGGTTGCTTGAAAAATCAGTTCTGAAGTCAGTCCCAAGGTCTAAGGCGAAGTCCGTCGACAAGAGGACCAAGCCCGCTGCCACGGTCCCTAAAAGGGCCGTTTCGCTAACCAAGTCGAGGCAAGCTGAAAGACAGAAGCCTTTATATGTAGACTTGGAAAGGGTACGAGTATCATCGAAAAGGAGAAAGTTGTTCAGCAGCAGCTCCGACAGCAAGCCCACCACAATCGATGTTCTCCAGTACCTTGTAAAGACGTTTGAGCCTCCGGCTACCCCCAGTGCCAGTTTGAATGAAGACGTTGTGAACGAGACTTTCAAGTCCCACGTTCTCTACCACCTAGGTACCCTCATTGACACTCACGCAAGTATCGGGAACCTCACGCAGGAGATTATTAAAGTGCAGAAGAAGAAGGACGAAATGAGAAATCGCATCTACGAGCTTAGACATAACCATTCCACGGTCGGCAACGAGATGAATGAGTTGCGGGCGGAGTACCAGAAAACCAAGCTACAGTTCGAGAACATGAACCAGTTGGACAGGAAACTAAGTGATTTGAGGAACCAAGAAGATACTGAACAGGGCCAAACCAGCTTAAGTGATGCTGTGACCATGGATTTGTTATCAGTCGATCAGATTGTTAATCCAGTTCATGGGATATTCCAGAAGTTCGTCACCATTAACGAGAAATTGGCCGAGCTAGACCAACAAACCGTGTAGTTGTTGTACTCATACATTCATCACCGTGACCTTGTTGTACTTATACATTCTTTGTTTATTGGATTAGTGGATAAATATAAAAAAAAAGTAAAAAAATGTTACTTACTGGTAAAAAGCTATCTAAGCAGTGAACGCATATATCCCTGCGAATAGGCTAGACGGAGGAAACAAGGATAAATAAAGTCAGTTGGTTTTGGTGCAACTCGAGCCAGGACAGCCCAGATTAGATCAGAGCTAGGTCCGACCTCAAAAACCAGACAATTGAAAGGAGATTGGAAGATTATGGGCACATTATCGCGGCATATCTTCAAATCTAACTGTCATCAGCAACCAAGGCCATGATCATTCTGTACAAGTAGAAGAAAAACATCAATAAGTGGAAACCAAGCTTGATAAACGATTCCTTCTTGTGCTTAGACAAGGTTCTGAAGATTTCAGTAGCATCCAATAAATGATTCTTGTTGACAAACTTGTTGATATTGTAGGCAAACAATGGGAGGTTCAACAAGAACGAGAACCAGTAACCATTGATTAAGAAAAGTAAAGTAATGAATCCATGTAACCCGCCCTCTGGGATGAACCATGGGTTCAACTTGTTACACAACTCAATTGGATTGATGTAATCGCATTCCAAATCGGAATACATGATAGTGAAGAACACTTGTGAGAATAAGTTCACCGCATTAATGATAACTGCAAAGATGAATAACCTAGAGGGTGTGTTGTTAGTATATACTGTGCAGCAATCCAACCCAAGCCAATTGTGGTTTCGCTCGTCTCCCCTTCCTCAGATCTGGAGATGAGAAATGGAAAAACTGGTCAATATTCGCCGCAGGGAATCCAATTTTTTCCAATTTTGGCTCGGCTACTAGCACATATCTGTGCCGTCATACTCATACTTACCAACTTTCTCCTGACATGTTGAAATGGTTAAAAGGTTGTATGTAATCAACCAACTCTGCTGGTTGTCTATAGGCAAAAACAAAAAGACGGATAAAAATGTTCGCAAGGGCGTGTGCCGTTCGATTTGTCCGACTTTCGTTGGTGTGTAGACTTCCCGATCTGGAAGGATGCGAGCGGAGCGGCTGTAGAGGTAAAAGGCTGCAAACGGAGGAAGGTTTGAGGTGACGAGGGCCCGGCCGTGGTCATTGGAGCTACCAGGGCTAACAAAGCGGTTCAGGTGGACTCTGCTATGGGGAAAAGTACAGGTTTGTATGTACTTCCTGATTTGCTCTCATCTGCTGTCTAGAGAAGGAGCAACTGCTGCGTGCTATTTGTTTATGCTGTGTAGAGATAGAGATACTGCTGCGTGCTATTTGTTTATGCTGTGTAGAGATAGAGATACTGCTTTGCGTGCCGTATGTTGATGCTGTGTAGAGTTAGAGATACTGCTGGGTGCTATTTGTTTATGCTGTGTAGAGATAGAGACACTGCTGCGTGCCGTATGTTGATGCTGTGTAGAGATAGAGATACTGCTTCTACCAGGGTGCAGTATGCTCATGCTGTGTAGTGATTTACAGCTGGGTGCTGTGTATGCTGTGTAGAGATCGAGAAATTGCTTCTGCTAGGGTGCAGTATGTTAATGCTGTGTATGCGCTGCCCGTCAGATTTTAGGGCATTCAGTGATACTCCATTGTTCTGCTTTGCCGTGGTTGTTGGTTTAGTGTGCGTTCGTATAGGAATTCCGTATTCGTTACATACAATTACATCTGTCATCTTTGTCATATTCCTTCGATAGATTATATTCCCGTGCTAAGTGCACCAATAATAACTTCTTACTCATCTAGTCAATACAAATGAAGGGTCACTCTGGAAGAAATGTATAGCATTCTACTTAATTTGAGTGGCCTTGTAGTATGTTCTTGACCTTCGCTTTCCGATGTCCTACGTACAATTGAATTCTCTACTCAACAAAGCCGTACTTCCGATCCCTTCAAAAACTACACTGCATTCTACTTCGTCTCTCCTAAGCCATATCTATATACTATCCACACTCTTGAAACACACCACATTACTTCTTCTTCTTCCGGACTCCTATTAAACTAGCTACTTTCACGAAATAAACTACATTACCCTACTTCCAGATATACAACTAGCTACTATACTCAATGCACTCCCACTTCAAACCCTTTTTCTCGGTGACGTTTCCCTTGGTCCCACTGAAGTCAAGATCGAAAAGCTCTACATCACCAAAACGAATAAGATACTCCCATTCAGACCCATTGAACCACGCTCTGACCACATGGAGCTCGTGGCTCTGTTTACTGTGAATTAAACCTTGAACCCAATTTCCAAGTCTTACTACTTTCCCCTCCCAGTGTTCCAGATCACAAACTAAAACGTACAGACTTATGCCTTTGGCAGTGGCATCTTCGCGAACCTCAGTGGTAGGAGTATGCTTCTCAGGATCTAATGATCTCCAGATTTCAATATAGTCTTGATTTTGACCAATTGCTGGATTCACCATATTCCCAATCTCTTTTCTGTCTTCACTTCCCGGAATTTCACTGAAGATTCCCAGATCAGTTCCTCTGCGGCAATCTTCAATTGGCTTTCCAGTCTTGATGGCTTCGGTTACTTCCATAGAATCGATTTCAAGTTTGAACTTGATTTCAACAGTTTCACCGGTCTCATCTGCTCCTTCTACTACTTGTTCCATTCCTGACAGCACCCAATCGAAAACCTCCTCATAGGTAGCATCTCCTTTAGTTGGGTTGTATGGATAGGCTGAAGCAAGAATTCTGATGTCAACGAAATGCGCACCTGGGGAAGTTATGACATAAGTACTGGTAGGTTCACTGGCTTGCTCATTTGCCCATTTTAACAGAACTCTAGTCGAAAACATTGCAATTATATAGAGAATACCTCCTTACTACAAAATACAGAATTTGAGCTATGCTATTTGGACTTCTGTCTGTTACTTATATGCTACCAAAGTATAGAGAGAGTTACATAGAGCGGAATTTCCACGGTATGTCAAGAAAAATTCCGCTATCAAAGCGCAATAAAATTCCGAATGTAGTTATTCCGTTCGTTATCAGATACTTCCTTTCTAGTGCAAAGAGACTTTAGGCGCTACGAAGACATGCCATCTGTTTACAAGTTGTTTACAAGTTGCCACTCTTAAAGAGATGACTACAGGCACGAAGAGATCTAATGTATTTCTCTGTTTACAAGCTGTGAATGCATTCCTTATAAGAACGGGAGAAAAATCAGGCGCTTAGTAGATATGTTCATCTGCTTACAAGTTATGGTTAATCGTCGCTCATTATATTTCTATATCTAATACTTTCATCTCATTCTTAATCTCTGTTTAAGTATTTCTTTCTTTTCTTGGGAAATAATATTTCCATCTAATCTTCTTAGATTAACAAATAAGTTAATTAATAGCATTTCATAATTCACTCTTTGAATGATCTTTCCCTCATCATTAGGTGTAGACTTCAACTTGTCAAGAAATTTGGTATCTCTATCTACCCACTCATCATAACTTTTATTGAGCGATTGGTATAAAATAGCAAAGCTTTCAATATCATCCAAAGTTTCCAATTGAATAGGCAGAATGTCGATGTTGGCCGTTGATTTCAAATGTTGGCTATATTCTAACTCCAGCTTGTTGAAAACGAAGGGATAGAAGTCTATATTTACTTGATTTAGTCTTAGATCAATTTCCTGTAACGATTTTCTAATACTTGAAGTAGAAAGTGCGCTAACAATCAGTTGAACTTTATCAATATTGTTGCTGATTATGAATAATCGCTTCAAATTAGTTAACTTAGACAATGGCTCAATCGATTTCAATTTGTTGAAATTTAAATTTAATTCTCTGACATTAGGGAAGGCTTCTGCAAAATCTTCAGGCAAGGTACTTATATTCATAGCAGATAAAGTCAAGCGGTTCAAATTGAGAAACTTCAACTTGTGACTACTCACTACTTCAAGCACAGTCGAGGAATTACCTGAAAGATCAAATGTCTTCAAGTCTCTAGAATCACTCAATATTTCATTAATAGTGGTGCTTGTGGACGGTTGAGACTTGCAACTTATCTCTTCTAGGTTCCTCAACTTTCTCAACTGATTCTTGAATGATCCTATTTGATTCCCATCAATTCTGAGGACTCTCAAGTTTGGGAAGCATTCAACCTCCAAATCTTGCAAGTTATTCAACTTCAAGGAAAGTTTTTTCAAATATAAGTGTCTACCTTGACATCTGATCGACTTCAAATGGGGATTTTCATTCAAGTTGAGTACTCTTAGCGACTTCAATTTTTCAATGCCACTGAAGCTTTCTAATTTATTATCAGATAAGTTAAGGGATTGCAAATTTCTAAGTTTTCCGCTAATTTCAAGAGCTCCCTTAAGCTCATTATTGGAGGCATTCAAAGTAACTAGATTGGAGAAATTCTCCAATCCTCTCAAGCTGACCAACTTGTTGTAGCTTATATTTAACTCTGTCAAATGAATATTGCTAGATAAACTTTGTAAGGAGCTTATTATGTTGAATGAGCAATTGAGTACTTGTAAATCATGAAATCTTTTGAATGAACTAAGATTGTCTATCTTGTTACTTGACGTATTCAATTCCAATACTTTATTTGGTATCCCTTCTAAAAATCTAATTTGGTTCTTTGAAACATCAAGACTTTTCAATCTTGGTAAAAATCTTTCTAAATCTTTCAAATTATCCAACTCAAATCCTGCCATGGAAATATTAAAGACGGCATCCCAATCTAAATTTTCAGTTCCCAAAACATCTGTTATAATATTTACCAACCGTTTTCTTGTCTGACTGAATGTGGAATCTTGAAGCTGTGAAACATTAGTAACAGCGCTACTATTTTTCATCTTAAAATCATCTTCTGACTCCATCGTCAGGTTTGGCAAGTGAAATGAGACTTCAAGCTTGCTTCCATTGCCACCTTTTCGGCTATTCTTCATTTTATTCATTATTGAATTTGTAGACTTGTCCATCAAATCAACTTCGCTCCTTCCTCCTGTTTGCTCTTCTCTAAGTGCTTCACTGCCCTTTTCAGATACCAAGTCTTCAATAGAATCCAAACTTCCTCTTACTTCGTCTTTATCTTCATTATTGATCCATTTTTGATTGGCAACATCAAAGATCATGTTATTGTACTCAATAGGTAACTCAACGTTGGGGTTGACTCTACCTCTTACAAATGATTGAGACTTATCGGGTGAGCCAGAATCTGACTCTGGACTCTCACGCAACTTTAACTGTGATATCCTTTTCCACTTAATAAAATCGTGCACTTGGCTAGCTTCGTCTTGGGTAAAATCATCAATGCTGTCCATCGTGGGATCGCGAAGTGGGCTCACAAAGTCATTATTCATATTATTCCTATTTTTGAGTTCAGACTTGAGCAATTCATTTTCTCTTCTGATTTTTTGTAGCTCATCATCGTGTTTTTCTGAAAGCATGGTTTCGATTTCTTCCAATCGTCTTGATATCAGTGTGATTCCTTTGTCCTTCTTTCCTAATTTTCTTTGATCGTGTAACCTATCTGAAGCCTCAGCTTCTTTCGACACTTTTTCCTTATCCACTACAAACTCACTGTTACTATCACTTCCATCATATGTATATGAGCTTTCCATTTCAGCAGATAATTGTCGCTGGAGGTATTTAAGATTTCTTGGTGATAGTTGAGTGTACCTATTGGTATCTCCTTCTCGTGAAGTTCCCTCGAATGAAGTAAAATCATTATTAGTACTAGACTGGTTTTCCGTTTGCTGCTTGCTTTCCTCGAACTCTTCAAGGCCGCTGGTAAACGATGAATATTCACTAATGTTGCTCACTTTATCATTCTTGGGAGTGGAAGTTGAAGTAGCGGAAGAAACTATCCTGGTTTTAGTGTTATTGGTTTTATCGTGATTATTAATTACGTTACTCAAATTGGTCACATCTCTAATATTCCTCTTAAACCCTCTTTCTTGAATATCTTTGAATACATCGTCTGCATTTTTAAGGAATTCTTTTTCCGTGTACGATCCTGATTTGGTGAAATTTTTGATGTTCATTTTAGGCTCTAAAATGTTTGGAATTATGAATTGTTTTGGCTTTCTTGGCGATTTCTTCGAAACTTGAATCTGATCTTCTTCGTTTTCTACTTTCTTTTCAGCTTCAATGCCATCTTCACTACCAATATCAATTTCATCGCTGGGCTTTATACTTGAGGTTATTGCGGGAGACTTGTTCTGCACTCTCTGTAATAAATTACTCAATCTGTCTTTAGTGAAAGTGTTGTACTTTGTACCGAACAACTTCAAAGGAGATTCCGGAACCTTTGTTGCAGGACCCACTTGTTCCATTATTTCTTGAATTTGCTCCTGGGTAAGGTGTTGGAGTTGTTCCACTTCCCTAGTGGTCAAGGACGGTATTGGCGTCGATGCTGTGGATGATATTGAGTGGCCCGCACCACTCGCAACACCTGTTCCAGCTCCTCCGTTGCTTGCATGTTCACTCACTGAAAGAAAGATATTTTGCAACTGGTTTCTTTTCTTCTGAGCTTCATATTCTTTTGTAGCCTTCATCCACTCTGGTGTGTCGTTATTAAGATTGGTTCTCGAGTTGTGAATCATTGTGTTCCCAGTGGATCCAAAATTGAAATCTAAAGACTCTTTATTCGAATCTACAGGTTTTCTTATCCTGACGGAAGAACTAAAATCCAAGTCATCTAGGTTATTTATGAAGTTCTGGTTATAGTTTTCATTACTCTCACTATTACTGTTTCTTTTACTATTATTGTTAATATTGCCGTTATTATTAGACCTGATGTTATTCCCCAAGAGACCGGGCTTGAATTCGACGGACTCGGGCAACCACTTCTCGCTCAACACATCTGGCATCCAATTGGGAGTTGTGTCAGACTTCTTGTTCTTCTCATTCATGGTAGATGTGATCGGTGGGAGACTGGGCTCTGATTCTGAGTGATTCTGATTCGATTCCTCTACAGCATCTTCCACAATCCCATCGCTGCCTTCGCCTTCGTCCTCTTCATCGATTTCGTTATAATTTACAATGCCCAACTTCAGCTTCGTCTTCGCATTTGGGTGGGACTTATATTTGAAGGTATTTGGAATGGAGCTTGGCGGTGAAAGTGACGACAAGTTGAACGATTTGGTTATATCACCTTTGAAATCGACATTGGGCAAGTATTTCAACTTGTTTTGGTACGCAAAGGCATGTTCGCTGGGGGCTGGTGCACCGAGACTACTGTCTTCGTCTTCCTCTGCGTCGATGACTCCCTCGCTGCCCTGATGATTGCGATCTTCGCCATGTTCACTTCCGTTGGTCTCTCTGTTCCTAGCCTCATCGTCAGAAATGTTAAACAGAATATCATCTACCTCTTCTTGAATGATATCCTTCCGATGGCTCAAGTGCTTGGTATCCACAGAGTGCGCGCTCGAGGGCTGCGTCTCCGTCCTTGGCTGTAGCATAGAGTCGCTCAATTCTGTGTTTCTCATATACTTCCTGATCCGCCCTGATGTGGAAGATGAGGCATCCAGTGCAAGTCTGTTCATATTTACTCCAATTCGGGCTCTGATGACTCCGTACCGCAAGTGAACGTGCTTCGTTTGTGTTTGCTTAACAATCGCAGCCAAAACGAAAACGAAAATCAAAACAAAAACAAACAGAGCGAAAAAAAAAAAAAAAATGCGCTGCTTGGGTGTGCGGGTGTGTATAGCTAGCAGGTGAGGTTAGTGATAAGAGGAAATGGAGAAGCTCTACGGCAGCGATGGCGGCCTTGCTGGAGTGGATATGATGAGATCAAGGGTCCTACGCTGGAGCTGAGCACTCCAAGTCGTCGAAAAGGGAAGAAAAAGTGCAGAAAAGCGGTGGAGTGCCCCTAGCAAGTCTCTTGTTAGCGTAGACCCTGCTACTAAATAAGCTTCGGCAATATACGAGACGATCTCATGCTTGGAGCTGCGAGTCGGGGTGAGCACCCAGCACGCACTGAAGCCTGGCGCTAACCACTGGCCAGAGGAACAGACAGTGTACACCAGCCAAGCTGGAACCGCAAGTGTGGATAGTAACTGCACCACACTGCTCACCACCCACCACCCATCGACCACACTCTATCTCCTCACACCGTTTCCCACACCGCTGCTCGGTGTCTCGCACCCCAACTTGCTCACCCTGCATGCCCGCAATTTCTCCATATTTCAAATCTGGAATTTTTCACCCAGCTCCCAGCAGTGTGATAAATATACCCAGTACGCACGCTCACTTGAACACTACCAACACGAACACGCATTGTACTCTGGCTGTAGCACTTCCATCTCTGAGCCCCCTTTTCGGTTACTTTTTCGTTTCTGTTTCGCTCATCTCTCTTCCCCAATTCCGTTTTCCTTTTCTTCTAGCCCTCCAGCCCTCCCCCTACCCTGCTGCATCTCTTCTGACGTACTTTAACATCAAGGCTGAAAATTAGAAAGGCAAAGTTGAGAACCAGAATCTTTTTTTCTTTGTACGTTCACTTCTTCCTTTTCAGTCAATTCAAGAATCACTCAATCAGATCACGTCACGTATCAACACTACGTGAATACTGTCTCGATACGCAATTGAGATAGCTCCTCCTTTCAGTTGACTTGTTTCCCGCGTTGCTTTTTTGTCGTTGTTTGATTTGTTTTTTCAGGTTTTCAATACTTTTTTATACTGTTCAGGTTCCCTTTCTGTTTCGTTTTGGTTTGCTTCACTTCCTTCAACTTGATTCCATTTTCCTTCTACAGCCACATACAAATATAAATAGAATATAGTTTTTAATGTCCTTTGTAACGAATAATCCAGAACAAAAGGATGATTCTGATCAATTGAGTTCCGTTTCGTCTTTGGGTCATGCCCAACCCCAGATCCTTACCCAGTCTCAAGCTCCTCCAGCTGTCAGTCCTCCCCATACAACCGCAGTTGCAAGCCTGCAACACCAGCAGGAGCAGGAAATGCTCTTGAACTACACAGTGCCTAATCCGCCGGTTTCTACTCAACAATCAAGTGCTGCTGCTAGTGCCGTCGCAGCTGCTAGCGCAGCAGCCATGTCTAACTCTCAGGCGAACTCCTCTGTGGGAAATTACGGTCCAGATGGCCAAATCCAGTCGCAATCTGCTTCCTTTGATGCTGATTTGAACAAAGTTAACCCTCCTAGGACACTCTGGATGGGCGATTTGGACCCTTGGTTAGAAGAGGCTGCAATTGCAGATTTGTGGTGGCAGGTGTTGGGAAAGAAAGTCACCGTCAAGATCATCAAGCCTAAGATCCAACAGCAACACCAGCAAGTGAATGAAAATGGCTTGACTCATTCCGGCTATTGCTTCATTGAGTTTGAGACCTTTGACGATGCTCAGCAGGCATTGGGCTTAAATGGCCAATTGCTTCCAGACATAGCCATCCCTTCGCAACAGAAGTTCCTCAATAACCCAGATAATCAAAAGAAGTACTTCAGACTCAACTGGGCCAGCGGTGCTACCTTGAGCGCCCCTATTATCCAGACTCCAGAATACTCCTTATTTGTTGGAGATTTGTCGGCGTCGACCACTGAAGCTCACCTTCTTGCGTTTTTCCAGAAAAGCTTCCCCAATTCTATCAAGACTGTTAGAGTTATGACAGACCCTGTATCTGGAAAATCGAGGTGCTTTGGTTTTGTTAGATTTGCTGATGAATCTCACAGACAAATGGCATTAGTAGAATTGCAAGGAGCCTGGTTCGGTGGAAGGCCCTTAAGATTGGCATTAGCCACTCCCCGTAACTCCAATCGCCAACAACAGAACCATAACCAACAGCACCAGTACCAACAGCATCACTCCTTCCAGCAGCAACATCACTTTCAGCAGGGGCACCATTTCCACCAAGACCAACAATTTCAGCAGCCAAGATTCACCCGTAGCCCAATTCCTCAAGGTAATTACTACTACGGCGGATATGAGCAGCAGAATCAGGAGTTAATGGGCCCAGGTGTTCCTGGTAGTTCCGGTGGTGCGCCTGGTGTACCAGGGCCGGGACCAGGGAATTATTACCATCATCAATGGCACGATCCACGAGCTCAACAGGTTAATTCCCCAATACCTCCACCACCCGTGCAACCACAAGGTAATTTCCAGGAACAACATCAACAACAACTGACTGACACCAGCGACACTTCATCTGTCAAGTCGCCAGTATTAACTGCAACCCAGACAGGTAATTCAATCGGACCCAGTTCTACTTCGTCCAGTGGCCAGGGCCAAAACCAAGCTCAAGGTCCGCCTTCCCTCGGCCATGGCCAGCCCTTTACCGATCCTAACAACACCACTGTATTTGTAGGGGGCCTTTCGTCGGAAGTTAATGAGCCAACATTGTTTATGCTTTTCAAACCATTTGGGTTAATTCAACAGGTGAAAATTCCTCCTGGAAAAAACTGTGGGTTCATCAAGTACTCAACTAGAGTAGAAGCTGAAGATGCAATTGCAGCAATGCAAGGATTCATAATAGGAGGTAACAGAGTGAGGTTGAGCTGGGGCCGTGTCTCCTTGAACAACAAGAAGTATCAACAGCAGCAACAGCAAGTTGCCCAAGCTGCACAGATTGAAGCCGCCGCTGCATTGTCTATGGGATTAGATCCTGCCAGTGCCATTGCAGCTGCTGCTGCTGTTGCAGCTGGGGGATATACACCCACACTCCCTGGGCATGTTCACCAACCTCCACCACCGGGAGCTGCGTACCATATGATGCACCCGGCACATGCTCCACCACCGCCTCATATGGGTATGCCTCCTCCAATGCACATGCAAAACTATCGACCCAACGAAGACAATCGAGAAGATCAACAGCAGCAACAGGGGCAACAGCAGCAGCTGCTGCTGCCGCTGCTGCTGCAACAGATTCCAAACGGATACTTGCCTCCAGCTTACCTTGGAGGATCTCCTGTTCCACCTAACGCAAGCGCCAATGCCGATGGCTTGCTTAACTCCATGGCTAACATGAACTTGGGAAACAGCGGCAGTCAAGAGAATCCTAACTACCCTAACCCTTCTATGTACTTACAGGGACCTGTCCCTGGAGCCCCTGGCCAGGTACATGGACCTGGAGCTCAAGGGTATCCAGGTATGTATCAATACCAACCTTACCTTGCGCCAGGAACTGCGCCCCAGTTTGAATCGCAAGACAGAGACAATGAGGCCGATGATAACAATACCAATAATCAGAAAGAAGAATCTGGTTCGGAATCTAAAAGTAAATCAAAAGATACTCCTACAGGTGAGGAATAACTACGAATACCAAGCTAAACTTAAGAATTGAATTAAAAATAAATGCCGTTCTGTAACTTTCTATATACTTTGTACATATTTTGTAGTTATTATATGGACCTTGTATTGAACTACTGTTTGTGGGTGATTAGCGTGGTTAGAAGTGGAAAGGCGAGAGTGCTAATGCTGATGGAACTGGTGTTATCCGCTGGTTGACTATGGCTATCACTGTCGTGCTTGTTCTATCTGTTTCCCTCATCGTTGTGTCACCATCGCCTTGTCATCGTCTACTCGGTACTCATCGTTATGTCCTTATCTACCCACTACTCATCGCTGTGTCATCATCACTCGCTACCTATGTACTCGCTTCTATATAGGCACTGGCACTACACACCTACAACAGCCTAGCCTACAGCCTACACGTTCTAACTTATAATAATAACATCATATTTAAAATCCACCATCTAGCGTGGCTAGAACTAACTAAAAAAAACCTAAAAGAAATAGAGAACACAGGAAATAACCTACATCAGGTCAGCAAGCCAACCTGATAACCATAACTTGTAACATATTCTAAGATCTTTCACCTCTTAATCTTCTAGCTAATTGGATATCCTTCTTTTGGATAGTAACTCTCTTGGCATGGATAGCACACAAGTTAGTATCTTCGAAAAGAGAAACCAAGTAAGCTTCAACGGCTTCTTGTAAAGCACCGATAGCAGAAGATTGGAATCTCAAATCGGACTTGAAATCTTGGGCGATTTCTCTGACCAATCTTTGAAATGGCAACTTTCTAATCAAGAGTTCAGTAGACTTTTGGAATCTTCTGATTTCTCTCAAGGCAACGGTACCTGGCTTATATCTATGTGGCTTCTTAACACCCCCTGAGACTGGAGCGGACTTTCTAGCTGCCTTAGAGGCTAACTGCTTTCTTGGTGCCTTACCACCAGTGGACTTTCTTGCTGTTTGCTTTGTTCTGGCCATTTTCTACAGTAATAAGATGACTAAAATCAGGAAAAAGGGAGAAGAAGAACAAGAAAAGAACTATCAAGAGGGCAAAAGAAGAGATATAATGAAAAAAAAAAAAAAAAAAAATTATTCGGATGTCCACCTTGGTCGAAAGGGGATAATCCTTGGACCTGCTCACAATGGCAAAAAGAGCAATTTCAGTAGGCATGATCATGTTACGCACACCCTTCGCCTATTAATCGCGCAAGACTGAGTTAAGAACAAAAATGTGAAACTGGCCAATCATATGTGTGCAACCAGGCTTAAGTAGAGAGAGTGTGAGAAAAAATGTTATCTAAATTGGGGGCCAGTGTGGTGATTTCCCCTTTGGGACCTGGGGTCAAAACCGGTAGGGAGAGATATGCAGGAAGGAGAAAAGGAAGGATCTTAGAATTAGTGGTGTTGTATGCCGGACTTGGTGGATTGAAAAGGTTAGTACCGGATGGTACATGTTGGTTATATGCAGTACACGAAGGTCTGCTCAGCACTAGGACAGGCGGAGAGACGGTGGGGCGAAAGACGGGGAATTCTCTTAGAGACATGTGCTCACGAAATGTGCACTCTTGAGCTCGTATATGAACACGCAAGCTGAGTGGCAAGCAGATAGTCAGAGGGATGGAAAGACGGTGTGAATTGAAATAGTTGGTGCTGTTTGGTTATATGCAGTACACGAAGGTCTGCTCAGCACTAGGACAGGCAGAGAGACAGAGGGACGAAAGAGGGACGGAAGAGGGACGGAAAGACCAAGGGAGGGACGGCTGAAGGCCGGTGGAAATTCTCTTACAAACACGAAACTGTTCACGAAAAGTGTACTCTTGAGCTCGTATATACGCACAAGTTGACTGACTCACTGCCCTGACTCACTGGCCTACTCTCCTACAATCTTGTAACATCTTTCATTAAATGTATACTCTTTAACTTGTGTATAACGATGTGTATAACTATAAATACAATGCAATTTTAAATCTTCATTCTTTCCTTCTTTTTGTTTTCGTTCATTTTTTTTTTTTTTTCATTTATCAAGCTTCATTCAGGGTATGCTTCAGAAATGAACCACGAAAAGCGATGGAAAGTGCCTTGCAACCCCCATGGGCCCTTCTTTTCCCATTGTGAGTGTGTGTGTGTCTAACTGTGAGTATGTATGTGTGCGTGTGTGTGTGTGTGGTGACATGGGTTCAAAGGTGAGTCTAACCGTAGAAGTGTCTGACTGTGCCTTTCCCTAGTTTGCGGTCTCTGTTTCTCCTTCTTCTTCATCTACTTTCTGTACCATAATCTGGTAAGTTTGGTCTTCATCATCTTCTTTTGCAATTGGAAAACACCGTACATCAAAGCTTCGGCGGTTGGTGGACATCCTGGCACGTAAACATCAACTGGAACCAATCTATCACAACCTCTAACCACTGAGTACGAGTAATGGTAGTATCCACCACCGTTGGCACAAGAACCCATAGAAATGACCCATCTAGGATCTGGCATTTGATCGAAAACTTGTCTTAAAGCTGGCGCCATCTTATTGGTCACAGTACCGGCAACAATCATGATATCGGATTGACGTGGAGAGGCTCTGAAAATAATCCCCAATCTATCTTGATCGTATCTTGGAGTGGAGACGTGCATCATTTCGACGGCACAGCAAGCCAACCCGAAAGTAACAGGCCAAAAGGAGGACTTTCTAGCCCAGTTAGCGATGACATCCAAAGAGGTCAAAGCATAGTCTAATGGTGAAGAATTAGGTTGTTGGGAAATTAATGGGAAATCGGTTTGCAATGGCTTTGGCGTCAAGTCCTTGGTGGATACAAAACGGTTACTTGAAACGGCCAAGGAGGCAAACGACACCGGCTTGGCACTGAGTGCTGTTCTTCCTGTTAAACGCAACATTATCTACTATCTTTTGAATCTATTCTAGATGAACACCTGTGACTGGAATAACCTTGTTGTACTTGGGGTTTTTGTTGTAGAAACTTTTTGCATTTTGCGATCAGCAGGAAAAAAAAGCGATTGATTGGCTGCGAGGGGGTTTTGTGATATGTTCTGTGTGCAGGTATGAGCGTGTGTTGCATTCTGGGCAGATAGGAGGGAGAAGGAAGGAAGAACAGGGAAGAGGGGAGGGGGGAGAAGGACGAGGGATGAGGGAAGTGGAAAGTGGAAAGCTGGGTATGAGGTGAGCTCGTGTGGATGTAATGCGATTGTCGTTCTTGAATTATTGAAAAAAACATGGTTTTTGCTGTGCCTGTCTTGTCTAGTCTCACTTAGCTAAGCGAACTTTCAGTGCAGTATTTTCAGTGCAGTATTTTCAGTGCAGTATTTTTTCAGTGCTCTCGTTCCCTAATCAGGAATTGCTGCAATTGGTAGGGAAGACGAAAGAGACCGAAGGAGCTCCGGATTAGTTTCATTTTGATGGTATTGGTGTGTATGTGCAGTGCTACTCAGCAGCAGTGTCGTATGAGGTTAACTCTTGGAGCAATTGGACCAAAAACTGTACAGAGTAAACACCTCTGTGGCCCTCTACCGTTATATTTTCACTAGGCAATATTATTGCTGAAGTGCGCTAGGCGTGGAAAATATAATATTGTCTACAGTTAGCACTACTGGTAGCCTACAAGCAGCCTAGCACTACAGGGAGTCAGGTTGGAACTAGCCAAATAGACTATACATCCTTGCTTCGCTTTCTGGCTTCGCATTCTGGCTTACAGTAGCAGAACTCCGGGTGATCACATCTTCATCTATGTTAAATATTTATTAGCTAGTCTACTCGTGAAGAGTCTATTAAGTCTTCTCTGTTCACACTATTTCCCTCTCGGTCTCTATATTCTACTCCCCTACTGCACCACATCCTCAAGGTAATCCTGAATCTTCTCTAATATGTCCGATTTGACCTGCTCTGGCACAAACTTCTCCGCCTTTGGTCGCACAAACGCAAAAAGCTCTTCAAATGTCATTTCCTTCCCATTTTCTTGGAGCTCTTTACTCGCGAGCTGCGTTACTTGATCAAACCATCCAGATTCGTATAATTGAAGCTTGAGCTGCTTATTTATGATCTCATAGTTTCCAGAAGAAATCAAGTAATCTTGGATCTGTGCTTTTATTTGGTCAAGATCCTTTTCAGCCATCTCTACTAAAACTACCTTCTTTTGATGTTAAATACTACCAATTAATTGGTGTGGTAAAGTTATGTATATTCGTGTGTGAGTTTCTCTCAAGTCCAGATGAGATTTTCACCAAATTTTCGTTTACACTGTACTTTTCTTTCCTGGCTTTTACCCACGTCTTTCACCTTCAGAGTGCCTACGCTAAAAAAGGTAAAATATCCACGAAAAGAGCCGAACGTCTCACTTAGTACAACTCACTTACCTTCACTCTTTTCCTTTTTCGTTTCGTTCTCGTTCTCCCCTAAATGGTCTTCCTCCTAAAACACACAAAATCACAATCTGTGCGAATCTCGCTCTTGTTCAAATCTCAACGGTTGCTTCCAGTAGTACCACCTCAGTCTACACCAATTACAATATCTAGAAAGTATATTCACTCTACAATGTCGAAGGGGTCACCATACGACGCCAAAATTACTTCAGTCGAGAAACTTGAATCCGGAAAATGGATCCAAACTAGAAAAATCAACTACACTGACCCCACAGGAAAGCTGAGAGAATGGGAAATGGCAGTTAGAACCACCCGTACTGAAACCACGGGAATTGATGCCGTTTCAATATTGGCTTTCCTCAAGTACCCCGGCGCTTCCACTAATAGGACAGAAATTGTCCTAACCAAGCAGTTCAGGCCCCCAACTGGTAAGGTGGTAATCGAGCTACCTGCAGGACTCATTGACCCTGAGGAGTCAGTCGAGAGTACCGCTACCAGAGAACTCTACGAGGAGACCGGGTATGTGGGCAAATTCATCAAATCATCGTCGGTAGACGACAAGATCGGGGTTTTCAGCGATCCCGGGTTGACCAACGCCAACATGGACCTAGCAATATTGGATGTAGACATGAGTCTTGCCGAGAATAAGAATCCCGTTGCGAAATTGGAAGATGGTGAGTTCATCGATGTATTCACAGTGCAAACTGACAAATTACTAGAAGAATTGAAGAGATTGGCTAGAGAAGAGGGGTGTGTGGTTGATGCGAGATTGTACCACTTGGCCATTGGAATTGACCTTGCCCAGTAGTTCCCTCAAAAGTGACCCCGTCTTACCCATATATAGTGCTTTGTAGGTGCTCATCTATAGCTCGGAATGCATATAGCTCGGAACCTCTCCACAAAATTGCCTTAACGTCTCTGCATTAGAAGGGTGGAAGAGATTAGCCAGAGAAGACAAATACCAGGCTATACCACTTGGCCATCGGAGTCGACCTCGCCCAGTAGTTTGGGTCCCTCAAAAGCATCTCCCTCTCATCCATATATAGTGTTTTGTAGGTGCCCATCTATGGCTCGGAATGCATATAGCTCGGACCTTCTCCACAAAATTGCCTTAACGTCTATGCTTGTGCGATTTTGCAATATCACATTCAACAAAAGCGAAACAAAGAAAAGAAATACCCAACGTATTCCAGGCCTTATAACTAGTGCATATTTCGCTTGATTTGTCAATATTTTGTAGGCTTAGAACGCAGTTTTTCACTTAGATTTTTCCTTGCTAAAATGTCGGATTATAACCCATGTTGCTTCTGCCTTGGGAACGACACAGATGTGCCACCATTCGGTAGGCTCTCAGATGCGCAGGCATTCGTAAATCCCTGCTCCAGATGCTCACTTACCACTCACCGTAAATGCTTGCTAGATTGGTTTAGTTCTCTTCCCTCCGATAAATTGAAGGTGGTGGATGCCCTGATATCGAACAGACGAGCTGCCGAGTCCGATGGCGAGTCCCATGGTGAGAGTGCCGATCTGAATGACGATGGGCTCCTCAACCAGAACGAAGGGATCAATGATAATGAGGACGGTGAAAACTTCCAAGTATTGATTTCACCGCAACAAATCAGTACATGGATTAACAGCTTGATTGCGAGCTTTGGGGTAAACTTCGATCCAGCCACTTTGGAGGGATCCTTTGTGTTGTTGCTGGCATCCTGCCCTCAGTGTAAAGGTGACATCACCTTCAGTATGAAGAGATCTCAGATATTGAGTTTGAGTTCAAGCGCAAGAACCGCTTTGACTAGATCAACTCAGTATTTCTGCGTAGCAACCGTAGTAGTGTCAGCAGTCACCGGGGTCTTCTCTCTCACATACGTCGCCTTGACGGACTGTGGACTCAGAATTATGAACAGCTTAGTTCCCGGTCCGTTGCTAGTCAAGATGCTACAAAAGCCGGCCACTGCCAACACCATTTCGCTGATTCTTGACTTCAATGCTTATTCGTTTGATAACCTTGAACTGGCACTTTCCAAGGGTGTAATAGACCCATTCAAGTTTTCCCGCATTCCTATGTTGCCCATCATGTTGTACAGAATGAGGTCGAGCTCCATGATATCGTGTTTGCTTGGGATAACAACCCCAAACTTGACCAATTCTGGCTCTACCTCAACTTCATCTTCGATGTCGTACAATAATCTGTCACATACCTGGTTAACTGAGATAATGATCAATGGATACATTTCTTCGCTTGGTAACCACAAACTAATCAAGTCATTGGTGAACAATGTCCTTAATAAAGACACTTTATTCAAGGGGGTTGATTTCTGGAATGTGAATAATATGATTTCACTCTTGATACCACTCAGATGGCTGTACGACTTATTTTACCGTTTAACGATAAATCGACTCCATTTTAACTTGGCAATGAAGATCCGCCCGAGGGACATTGCCAATAGCTTATCTCCAGCAGAGTTTGAAAGATTGGAGGAATACGATTCAAAATTGTCAACGTATACTAGCGATTTCCAATATCTCAAGAAGCAGTCGGAATTGTTTGTAGAAAGACAGTATGCTGAATCATCATCTTCCTCCATAATCACCTCCATGGTCAAGTCAGCGAAGAAAAAGTTGCACTACTATGGATCATGTCGTAAAACAGACATTCCTCAACAATACTTAAGAACCAAACTATCAGCTTGGCTCTTAGAAACGAAGGCCTGTTTTGATAATGATTATTCAACTACCTTGCTTTATAAATCGTTCACTTTGAGGTGCATGACAACTATATTGTGGCCATTCATAAGCTCGAAATTGGGTGGTGTCATATATAATTACGTCTTGAAGAGTTCTTCAAGTAGCATACCAAGAAACAAGTTGATATTGCTTGCCAATATAATTGGGTTAGTTGGTGTTGTGTTCCTAAAAGACTGCGTCAATCTTTACCTATGCTTGAAAAAGGCACAGCAAATTTCTAATATGGTTGTGATATATGACCTGGATGAAAATAAAAGAAGAAAGAAGAATGGAGGTACTCAGGATCATTCAAGTGAGCAAGAGCCTGAACCTTACATGTTGAATTTCCCAGGTGGATATTCAATGAGTATACGATTAAGATAGGTACAATAGATAATTGACAATTAACGTTTACTAAAAATAGAAGTTCTATTTTCATCGTACATAAAAGAGTAAAATACATAATATAACAAAAAGGATTTATGAAATAATTCATTCATCATCGTAGTTCTCGTCCTCTTCGACTTTCCTTAATGGAGGTTCAACTGGTTCATTGGTTTTTGGTTCTTCAGTATCAACATCACCTTCATCTTCATTTTGTTCCTCTTTTTTACCGGTAACATTAGATGAAAATTGCGGAACTGATGGAGATACCGAGGTCTCTGGTTTTGATTCAGGTTCCTTAGGCTTTTCAGGTTCTGTTGAAGGAGCAGGGGCACTAGGGGCCACAGGGGCAACTGGTGCAGCTGGTTCTGATGCAGCAGCTTCAGCTGAAGGGGCGGCCACGGGAGCTGGGGTCACTTCAGCAGCAGCTGGTTGGGGAGGAGGTGGAGTTGGTTGTTGTGGGGTAGCAGCAGGAGTGCTCACAGGAGCTGGAGCTGGTACCAGGGCAGGAACTGCTTGTTGGATTGGAGCTACTGCTGGTGTAGGAGCTACATCTTCATTCACTGGCTCTTTTGGTTTGGCTGTTTCTACTGGAGCAACAGGGGCAGCTGCAGGTGGTGTAGCTAATTTAGGTTTAGCTTCTTCAGTTGTTGGTTTCAATTCCGCTGCTGATGCGACAGCTGCGTTCATGAGGTTATTAAGGGAAGAATCATTTCCATTTTCAACTGGTTTTGGGGTTCTTTTTGATGTGATGGCCTTTTTTATTGGTTTTGGGTCTTTTTTATCATCCAAATTATGTTTACCGTTCGTTGGGATAGGTGCTACAGCAACTGATTGTGCTTCAGCTGATTGTGGTTGACTGAGTTGGATAGGTTGTGACTGGATTTGCTGCAAAGGTTGTTGCTGTTGATGGTGAATTGGCACTACCACTGGTTGTGTAGCTGGTGGTGCTTGAGCAAGCTGATGGTGAATTTGGGGTTGTTGCTGTTGTTGAATTGGTTGTGGCATTTGTTGGCCAAGAACTGATTGGTGGCTTGGTTGAGGAAGAGAAGGGGCACTTTGAGGAGGTTGACTTACCTGATGCAGAGCGGGTTGATGAAGTTGTCGTTGTTCTTGCTGTTGGTGTTGAGGTGGTAATAATTGACCTTGAGGTGGTTGTTGACTACTTTCTAGCACCATACCTTGTGGCAACCTTGGTTGTTGAGAGACTGGAGGTGGTTGAGGTGGATGAGTATTACCCTCTTGTTGATATTTCACCAACTGGTCCAATCTTGCCTTGATGTGTGGGTTGCCTGGGTCTAGTCTTTCAGCTTGTCTATACGCATCCAAGGCGTCACTAATTTGGTTATTACATGTTTCATACAAGGTACCCAAGTCGTACCAAACTTCACTAATATAAGGGTTTAATCTGATAGCTCTAGTGTAGGCGTCCAATGCATCTCTATATTGGGAGATTTGATAATACAAAACTCCGATAGAACACCAGAAAGTTGGGTTTCTGGAGTCCCTATTCACAGCTTGTTGGAACGCTTCATAGGCAGCGTTAAAATCTCCTCTAATCATGTGAACCCTACCTAAGTAGTACCAGGAATGTGCATCGGATTGATCGATTTCAAGCGACTGTGTCAAATATTTGAGGGCAATGTTTAAATCTTGTTGGAAGGGTGGAACTGAAGCACCGCTGACCGCGCTGCCGTTTCCATTGGTAGCGCTTCCTTCCGCGGGTTCCGCTTGTGAGTATAAGCACCCTAATTGCTGTAAGACCTTAGCATGTTGTGGATTCACTTGTAATACCTTCTCGTAGGCTTCCTTAGCACCATTCCAGTCCTTTTGCTGCTCCAAGACTGAGCCAATTTGAAACCACACGTCTGGTTGGGTTAAAGGATGTGGAGGATTGCTCAAAATGTATTGGAAGCAGTCCAAGGCATTCTGTAGCTTACCTTGGTGTTTATAGATGATCCCCAATCTGAAGTATATTTCATTAGACTTGTCAAAGTGTGGATCCAACTCCAACACCCTAACGAACGCTTCTTCTGCATACTCCAAGGAGCCGTATCTGTCGTACAAAATTCCAATTCCATGCCACAATTTGGGGACATTGGGGTTCCCCAAGTAGTACAATGCTCTCTGGTAAGCCTGGTACGCTCTCTGTAAGTCATCAAGCATCAAGTAGCAGTGACCCAAGAGACCCCAGGTTTCACCGTTTTCTGGGTTAAAATTCAACGCCTGTTCGTACAACTCGGCGGCCTTGAAGAAAACGTCCTTCGACCGGTAGATATTGGCCAATTTGGTGAGGGCTTCTGGATTATTGGGCGAGTGTCTCAAGGCCGCGTCATACGAGCCCAATGCCTTTTCCAAGTCACCCAAGCTCTCGGCAAGCAGACCTATAGCCAACCAGGTGGCAGACGTGGTCTCGGCAAGAATAGACGGAGCCTGGACTACCTCACTATTGCTTATTGCCTGCTGTTGTTGCTGTTGTTGCTGCTGTTGCTGTTGCAGCGGAGCGGTTCCGTTTACTTTGTGGTTCATAGCCATTTGAACAGGAAGCGTAGAGGTCATAGTATACTATTTTCTTTTCTCTCTTCAACCCTTTCCCTGAAACTTTGGACTTGCGTGCGTGTGTGTTCGAGTGTGAGTATGGGCGTGTGACTTGCTGCTGTGCGTCTCTTACAATGGTCTTATCCTTCTCCAGGAAGAAGGAATTCTTTTTTTTATTTTCGAATTGTTTTTTCTTCGCCTCTCCAACTTGTCAAGGTGAGCTGGAGATCGTTGAAATTGAGAATTTTTTCACTCTGGGCGAGGGCGGCTTCTTTTGGTGCACTGCGGAAAAACCAGGAAAAGGAAAAAACAATTGTGGAATTGAGCAATAAGGCTAATGGTAAAAATAGATAAAGATGAAATAAGAAATAAGAAATAAGGAAGAAGGAAGAAGGAAGAAGGAAGAAACGAAAAAAATAAACGGAAGAAAGAAAATAAAGGAAAAAGGAAAGAGGGATGGGGGAAGAGGGAGGAGGCTGCAGCGGAAAGCGAAGCGAGGGGGAGGGGAGGGTGTGCGTGCTGAAGGTGCTGAGGTGTGTTCCCTGCTGCTGCGCTGCTGTGCTGTGCTGTGTTGTGTTGTGTGTGCTGTGCTGTGCTCCGCTGCTGCGTTTTCTGTTCCTGCGCTGCTGCCACAGACCGAGGAAGTTCTGCTCACTAACCAGAAACAACTCGTTCAGTGTGGTGAAAGAATCAACACATTATTCCCTCTGGCGTCCCCTTATCGTGACCTTGTCTGCTCTTCACTCAGCGACTGTGAAGCTTAAATTCAGATGCGCATGGGCTTTGAAGCATTTTCGTTAGCTGTCCTGTTTGTGTTCCGTTTTTACGAGAGCTAAAACAATTTCAACAACCTTAAACGTACCCGCTGGAATTAACACAAGGGTAGATGCATGCAATGTTAGATTGTACACGACCCAGCCCACCTTGAGAAAATAAACGAAAAAATAAACATAACCCTGGAACACTGATGATATCATCATACCAGAAACAGAGAATGTGAGATTCTGGCTGGAACGCAGAGTGACTACCGGTACAGCAGAAACACAGCTTGCTGGAGCGAAATACCATAGGGAAAAAAAGGGGTTAAAGATCCACGGCGCAATTTACTTATTTCTTTATGGGGTTTTATTTTACAATTACTTTTGGGTTCCTTTGTTTGTGCTTACTTTTCACTTTTGTTCTCAGCATTACCGCCCGAAAACATCCCCGTTCCGAGTATGTGTTGTACTGTCCTGCTGCCGATGCCTTGAAGACTACCGCTGGCATCCTACCTGCCGGCCTCTTGTTGTTGGATGCTCCTGCGAGAAAACTGGTGCCAGAAGGGCTCCCCCCTTTGCATGATAGTTTCTTTTTTTTTTCTTTTTTTTTTTTTTTTTTTCCCTTTCTTTTTTGTATCGAAATTCGGCTGTTTAGCCGCCCCGGGCTGTCCAGGAGGGGAATAACTGGGCATCTGACAGATTTCGGTGGCTAGGGCCCACAAGATCGTGTAGCTAAGACTCGCATGTGAGGAGAATGGTGTATGCAGGATATTGAGGACTCGGCTTTTGCAGCTCCAACTCTGCCACTCACTCACGAGAGAGTGTCGGTGAGCAGAAGTGTCAATCAAGTTAGTGTGTCAATGAGGTCCAGGACTAGCCAAAGCAGAAGGGCGGTTTCTGGTGGCCCTGTGTATTTGTCTCACTCGCACTGCGCGCGAATGGCTCCGTGATTCATTACGAAAGTACTGCTAGGCTGATTATACTGCCACATGCTTGCTGGGCTAGGCTCTCACCTACTGCACATAGGACAATTCGTCCTATGTAAACTACGACACTCTACAAGCGGGTATAAGTAGTCCCCTGTATTACTCTATGTACTCGTTTCAACATTTCTATGCTCAATTGCCGTTTCTTACCGTACTCTTCCTGTACTGTTTCTTCTACGTTTTCGGCTCTTCCACCTTCTATGTGCATTTCTCGGCTCTTCACGGTCTAAATGCGGCCCTTCCCGTTTTGTCTTGCCCTAGCTTTTCCTGGTGTTTTCTCTAAAAGATGTATTGAACCCTAACAAGTTATTAATATCCGTCGTCCAGTCGGTCTCGCTTCTGGCTACACACCATATACCTTTGTAAGGACTCTTCTTTCTCACAAGCGTGTCTGGAGTTTCGCCGCTTTCTTCACCATCAATCTCGCTTCCCCCATCAATCCCATTCCGCTTATTATTTTTCGGAAGTTTATTTCCTGGCATGAAAATGGTGCCAGTTTCACTCACTACATGGATCTGGTCGCCGGGTCTTAAGTCCTGTTGTGGTATTCCATCGATGCTCAATTTAATCGCAGCATTTCTGTTTCGCTCAGACATCTGGATCCTGATGTGCAACGTCAGTGGTAAGATTAAGGGCCTGAATGACAATGATCTGGGGCAGATCGGAGTTAACAATATACATTCCACTGATGGGTGCGTAATTGATCCTCCTGCAGATAAACTGTACGCAGTGGAACCGGTGGGGGTAGAGAAGATCAACCCATCAGCAGTGGAGCTAGTCAACAAAGAGTTGTCGACGTAAACGTCCAACGATGTGAGGTTGGGCTGCAGTCCTCTATGCAACGAAATATCGTTCATTGCATGCATCATTGTGGTGGAATGGTTGTGCTGGTGCTTGACCTTCTCGATTAACTGGCGCTGCTGTGCACTATATGCACTCTCGACCATCTCGGGTTCCTTCCTTATAACATGGCACTCCAATCTACTTCTATGAAGAGCCTTGGCCCTTGAGTCGTACATCATAGCAAATGTCTCTTTGAATTTACTGAAATCAAAGGGAAGCAAGAACCCCAACGTCCCAAGTGCAAAACTCAACACCGGTGGAACGTTGGAGTTCAGAAAAGTGCTGACAGCTCGTAAAATTGTACCATCTCCGCCCAATGTAACCACCAAATCCGTTTTATCAACTATCTCTGCCATGGTTCCTGTATACAATGTGATTTTGTTACTGTCACTAACACCACTAATCAAATCCTCTACCCCACTGTCTGTGCTGCTAACTCCATCATCATCGTTAGAATTGCTGAGTCGTATCCCCCTCTCACCAGTAATTTCCAACAACTCGTCGCCAACATCATCACTAACGATAACGTTAACCGCCGGATAGCACTCGTGTATATGTCGGATGAACTTACTCATAGCTTCAGTCACACTGTCATTCCATGGCTTCTTAACAATGTAAATGTTTTCCAACGGTTTTCTCCAGATAATATTATGCAACTTGGAATGATGTGAAGGTACATATTCTGGAAATGTGCTGTTCCGAAGCAAACTGCATGATTTGATATTTATTTTAGAGTTCTGTTTCAAGATTGTACCAGATGATGTTGCACAATTTCGGGCAAGAAATTCGCTAATTTTGAAGCTCACTGGTTGCCGAATCCAAACTGGCTGAAACATAATGAGTCTGCTGAATGAATTGAGCTGAAGATGTGTGAAAAAAGATTGTTATCTGTAACTTTTCACAACGGTGACTCTTTTCCCTTGGACCATCGAAAATTGAGACACCACCTTATATCATCAGATCCTGCATATTGGCGATAAGATTGCAAAATCTAAGCTAATGCTACTGCACTACGGAGTTAGCAGTTGACAGTCTACGAGTGGTTCAAAAAACAATAATATTCTACAGATTATCTAACTATTTTAAGGACGAGGGGTTTCTTAAGTCTCAGCGTTCAACTCATCGATTTCTTTCATCTCAGCATCTGTCAAACTGGTTGTCGATGCGGATTCCGCAGCCTTTGGTTCTTCAGTTGATGGTTCAGCTTCAGCTGGGGTAGATTCTGGATTAGAAACTGCGACAGGAGGCTTAGTATCTTCCGTTCCAGCTGGCGAAGTTTGAGTTATAATTGGAGCGATTGTTTCACCCTCGGTGAGGGAAACAGTGGCCAGTGGTGCTTCTTCTGGAGCTGCTGTTGAGTCCTCTGTAGTGATGGCCAGAACAGCTTCTGCGACAGCAGGCTGGTCCTTTTCAACTACATTTTCTTCGTCAATTTCCATTGCCTCTCCATTTGCAGTAGCAGCTGCAGTAGAATCTACGGCAGCTGCGCTTGCACCTGCGCCTTCAGTTGCTTGTCCCTCTCCGCTTACACTATTTGCTTCTTTATAACTCTGGATATTTCTCTCTCCCTCATCTCTATCTTCATCTTCATAGAATTCGTTGTCGGGCTGGATAATCTCATCCCTGGCTTGTTGTGAGCCCCCCTTCGTATCGATAGCTTCTTGTGTATCCTCATCAACATCTCCCAACTCCTCAGCATCGTTAGGAACATAATTCATCTGCACCGATGGAGCATGCTTCGTATTCTCCAAACTGGCAAAGATATTGGTTAAAATCTTATTCAAGAACTCTGGACTGTTGGCATTGTGCATGTTTGATGGTCTAACATCTAATTTATAGTCTGGTCCGTAGTATTCATAGTAATCATTGTAAGGCAATTCACTGGGCAATTTGATATTGTTCAATAATCCTGCTTCATATGACCATGTTCTTGCGACGTTTCTCATGGTGTAACCACCACCTCCAACGACCATAGTAGGTACATTGAAAGATTTGACGAAATTAACGCAATTGGCGTGCCCATTCATCGACAAGTTGAAACACCCTAACCTGTCACCACTCAACGAATCACCACCACACTGCAAAACAACAGCGGAGGGCTGGTACCAGTCCATGATTTTCTGGATAACTGGCTCAAAGATAGACTTGTACGACGAATCGTCAATACCGTCCCTCAATGGGATGTTCACAGCATGGTGCTTCCCCTTACCAACGCCAATATCTCTGAGTTCCCCGGTACCTGGGAAAAACTCACCATATTTATGGAACGAACAGGTCATGACTCTATCTGTCGTGTAAAAGGCTTCTTCCACACCGTCACCGTGATGGACATCAATATCAATGTACAACACACGTGGGTGGTACCTCAACAACTCAATTATACCCAATACGATATCGTTTAAGTAACAGAAACCAGAAGCTTCAGATTTCTTAGCATGATGCAATCCACCGGCGTAGTTGATGGCAATGTCACACTTCCCTCTGTTTAATCTGGCAGCACCTTCCATGGACCCTCCACCTGAGATCCCACAGTACTCAAAGAGCCCATCAAACACCGGACAATCGTCACCAACGTTGAACTTGATTTGCTCCTTGGCAAACATGTCCAAATTGTCTGGAGTTACACGACTCAAGAAGTCTATATACTCGTCAGTGTGGAACTGGCACATCTCCTGCTTGGTTGCAGGCTTCGCACGGTATATTTCCATCTTCTTGTATAACCCATAGTTCATGATCAACAGGTGTGCCATTCTTATACGGTGGGGCTTCATTGGATGACCTGCACCGTATGCGTAGTTACCAACGTCCGCATCATAGAAGTATGCGACTCTTTTCTTGTCGTTTGAGACCTGAAGCTCGTCAAACGGGAGTTGAACGTAGACCATACTGTAGAGAGAGGAAGAGGTTCAGCACTTTTTTCAATTTATATCCGTTTTTTCTCTTTTTTTTCCGTTTTATTGGATAAATAAAGAATTTATATGCTATAAGTTAAAGACAGATACAATAATTGACCGAAACTGGTGTGTTAGTGGGTCTTTTCTGTACTGGTTCCTCTGTACTGCTTTTCGATTTTCTGCTTTTTTTTTTTTGGAAAAATTGAAGATAAACTGGGTGTTGTCCTGCATGTAAGATGTGTGGAAATGCGTGCAAGACATGTGGTTACATGCAGGTCTTACAGTGCAACACTTCCACCTGGCGTGGGTGTGTAGGTCTTCCTTCATTGACTGGCCCCATTGAGTTCTACATAGTGTCGTACGCTAGTCAGGTGTTAGCTTACTTATATTGTTCAATTGAGTTCTACACAGATTTTGTACACTAGTCCGGAGTTAGCTTGTTTATATTGTTTAATTTTAAATATATGCAACATGAGCAACATGCTTCGTAAAACTTTTTATATCTCGCTTACCGTATTCTATACACTTTCGTTCACCTCTCGCCTCGTTCTCCTGACGTAATCTTCCACCTGCTGGTTCAATTGGTCCTGCAATTGAGAATCGTAGCACCACTGGTCGTAGGCACCTTGGTCGATTTCAAAGTTAATCCCATTGTTGAACTCATCGGTTATTACCTTGTTTGTTATTCCAATGGGCAATATCCAAGTCCAGTAGCTTGTTCCCAAAATCGACTCCAAGTTCTTCCTGTGGCCAATATTGAATATGTTTGTATTAGCATTGGCAGAGTTCTCTCTGTTTCTTGTGTCGAACTCATACTGGTTCCTCAGCTTGTGCCACTTATCCTCCTGCACTTCAATGGTCGTCTTATTGATTAGCACCAACCAGCCGGAGAACACTGTGAACACTCCTACTGCAAAGAAGAACGACAAGCTTATCACGAATAAAAACACAAGTGTCAACGACAAAAATTCGCCTTCGCTGTACTTTTCATCAGTGAAAAACCTCCACAACAAGCACAATGTACATACGAAAACTATCCCACAGTAAACGCTTAGATATATCAAAAACTGGAGGAAGAATTTCTGATTGTGAAATCCAATGCATGTGGCGAACCATGGGCAATGGTGGTCCATTCTGAGTATACATCGCTGGCACGATGAACAGTGGTGACATCTATCGGGTTTCCAACAACTACATTTAAGGCAATATCTGAATGCAACTGGAGCAGACTTCTTCTGTTTCACTGTATACATTCGAACATAGTCGAAGGGCGGTTGTTCGGGTTCCCTACGCGCTACCTGTTCTGTTCCTTGGTTTTCTGCACCATCTCCATTATTAGTATTATCTTCTTCTTCTTCTTCTTCTTCTTCTTCTTCTTCTGCACTTTCCTGTCTGTACGGGTTTTCCGTATACCTCGTAGCCAATCTGTCCATATCTTTGATCTTCAATTCTTCGAAGTCCAACGGGCTCCCAGGTCCAACCAACACCACCTTGAAATACGTGTACATGCACAAGCCATATAGCACACACCCTATCCCGGCAAGGAAATATCCTAGCACCTCTCGTTGCTGATAAACTATCATATTGTCGTACACTGCATTAGTAAGAAACACATAGTGACTCCACGTCAAGAGTAAGCTACAAAACACTTTTGGAAATAACAGCGCTGCTGCGCAGCAGAACAGTTCAGCGCACGTTATCCAAGGTCTTACCATTATTCTGGGATGTGAGATAAGCATACGCCTTAGGTATCAACACTTCTACTTTTTTTTTTAATTTTCCGTTTTATTTATCTTTTTTCTCCAACTAGCTGATTTGATTAGAATTGTTTTGGTTGATAAATGAGTTGCTACACAGACCGCGCGTCTTCAACAAGAGGACTAAACCTTAAATTGGATTAAGAAATACTTTAGATATCTACATATTGTAATTTGGTGATGATTGTTTGCAATGGTTAATGAACACACCACATATTTTTTTTTTTTTTGCTATATAATTACTTTTGATTGGAACGGTGCTAATCTTTTTACTGCACGAAGGCAACACGAAGTCTATTATGTAATTTGTAGTCTAATGCTTAGGCATACCTGGGATCTTTGCTGATAAGAGTCTATAACTAAGCATGCAATAAAAATTCTAGTCTTGTTATTCTTCACCTTTTTTTTTAAGCTCTAATCGCTTTTCAGTTTTTGCGCTTTCACCTCCTTCTTAGGCAGCTTTGCAGCTGCTTCATAGCCAATTCCGGTGAAAACGAGTGACACACCTACCCATTGTAGCCCACTGAGGTGATGTCCGAATAAGATGACACTCAAAATCATACTGATCATCTTTCTGGTTACAGTAGCAGTGACCAAGATCAAAGAATCGAACTTTTCAAGGATAATAAATACAAATACCTGGCCCAAAGACCCCAAAATGGCAAACGCCAATATGTTACCCAATGCTTGAGGGTAGTGCGTGATGAAGTTGATGGTGTAGGTGATTTCTCCCTTATACTCAACAAAATATGCGTATGTTAAAGATAATACAAACATGAAAAAGTTCAACAAGCACATTAATTTGGCGCCAGTGAGTTTCACTTGCGATGGCATCTTAAATAACTGATCTTGGGTGGAATTGGTCAACCCGTCTAAGACCATTGACCCAATCAACTGGGCCATTCCTATCAAGGTTTGCCCATCGTTGATGCTGGTTTTTGACTCGCTTTTGGATGGATGTCCAAAGGTGAATACTGCAACTCCCGCAGAAACTGCTCCTGCAACCAAGTATTTATATAAGGGGAACCTGGTTCTATACAACGTGGTATGAATCAAGAGCACAGGAATCAATTTACATGATTTTGCGAGCAAGAATGCTAAATAATCTACATGCTTCAATGACTGGTATCCCAATGGAGAAGACAAAGACGACGTTATTGAAATAATAAGGAAAGACTTCAAAAACTTGCCGCTTACCTGTTTGTCCAGCTGGAAAAAGATGTCAAAGGGATTGGACTTGTCTGATATCAACGAATACACCAAGCCTACTATTGCTGCGAAAAACGCTTGAATTATATTCACAATTAAAGGTGCCTTGAAAAAATCCGGCTTCCCAGTATCTGGATTATAGCCGTATGGTTTCGTATTTATTCTTTCTTGAAGGACCGACCATGACAAGAACGATGCATAAAGGCCCAACACGCAGAAACAGAGCGTCGAAACCAGTCCAGACTGCTTCTTCATGATGTATATACTAGCAGGCAATTCGAAAGAAAGAAGGCTAAAACTGAAATCTGTCATTTTTTTTTCCACTAGTAAACAAAAATACACGCGAGAAAATCTTCTGCAGCATTACGATTATTTTTCCAGATGAGGTGCATGCAGGAGAGATGGGCATACAAGAAAGTTGGTGGTGGGAAGAAGATGATGTCAGTGTAAACGGGCTCCTTTGGTAATAGGCAAGGTGTTCTGTGTTTGAAGTTGCAGGGAACGGTACTCTGGTGGTGTGTCAATGACAGATCCCATAGAAATCGATATATATGTAGACGGTTCCTCGCGCCATAATGGTCCTCTCGTAGATCCCTACTGTGGTTATGGAGTGTACTATGGGCCCGATGATAAGAACAACGTTGGGGTAGCAATGTCTTCAATTGACTTGGTTGACGAGAATATTGCTCCCAACGGTCCAAGAGCCGAGCTTGCAGCAATACGGCATGCTCTTCGAGATGTTCTTGCGTTCAATAGCAGTAGTGTGAAGCACACTATCCTATCTGACTCGAAGTCATCGGTCGAGGCTATCACGGTAAGACTGAAAAAGTGGGTCAAAAATGGTTGGAAATCTTCTAATGGAGCTGCAGTACAAAATCGAGATCTCATTATGGAGTGCTTACAATTGCATAAAGAGGTAAATAGGAATTATAGAAGCAACGGATGGGGCCCATTGTACCTTTTCCATGTCCATGGCCATAAAGGTGTGAAGGGAAACATGGAGGCCGACAGATTAGCGATTTTAGGAGCTGACAAGGATAAGTTATTGAGGGATGAGATAGAGAATAGGAGCTTCACAAATGGAGAAAAGCATTTGAAAGAACTTTTAGAAGAAGAAGAAGTACAAGGGTATAATAAGATCGGCTGGTTTAGTGTCCTTTCTTTTGCATGCTTCGTTTATACATTGCCAATGTTGGAGCGTTCCAAACGTTAAAGGGTTTGGTTCGTTCCAATTCAAAGTGCACGAATCTAGTGCTATTGATGTTGACTGTCGGTGGTACTGCGAGACTCCTGTTGCGCTCCTTTCGGTGTGAGCTATACATTCTACAACTGCCTGCGTATTTTGAAGATGCTGGAGACTGCTTAACTAGAACCTGTAACATTATACATCCCACTACAATTACACTTACATATGCATTCAGCAGTAACTTTCGTAAACTTTTATTATTACATTTATGATCTTCCAAAAATACCAAAAAATCCACTCTTCTTAGATTCATCGGTCCCTGCCGCTGTTGATGCTGTTCCTGGTGCAGAAGAAGCGCTAGATGTTGATTCATAACCCTTGGAACGGTCAGAATTGTAGTTGATGTAGTTGAACCCAATATCAAACAAGACTGGCTTGGTTAAAATAGGTTCTATTTTAACCCTTTCATTTAAATTGATTAAGTTATCTAACTTGAGATTTATTGGATATTTGTTGACATTTTCAATAATTGTAGATGCTGAAGTTGGCGACTTCAAGTCCACGGCAAACTGAGCTAAGATGTGAATTTGACTGAACATTTTAGTGAAATCTGCGTAGAATTGGGTGTATTCATCGTTATTGGTTACACTATATGGAAAATCGACAGAATAGATATCTCTAGTTCCTTGTGGTAACACTTCTTCCTTGATATGACTGTATAATCTTAAAGCTTCAGCGAAACTTTCATTCACTGCAAATGAATCAGCTAATTTAATATACTTTTGTCCAACATAGTACTTTTCCAAGTTTTCAAGAGATTTGTACAAATCCTCATCGTTGTAGACACCTGGTAAGTCCTTTAACAGTTGCACAGTGGATGTAATTGCATTCAACAACCAGTAAGTATCCTTGTTCAATTCAAGTTTGTTGAAGCTTGAAGATGCCTTATGGTTACTGGTGACTTCTTCAATGAATAATAAATCTCTTTTCAACTTACTGAATAACTCTTGGTATTGAAGGTAGGTGGACAAGATGGCTCTGCTTTGAACTAAATCCAAATCATCTTCATCCTTGTTGGTGCTATCATTTTCGTGCAAATCGAGAATCAAAGACCATTGGTTCACCAACTTCTCATCAAAATCGTTGGCCTTGAATTTGCTTGTGTTTAACTTATTCAATTTCATGATCTTGATGGCGATCTCTTCGTTCACAATGGCCGCTTCGTGGTCTCTCCATTGGATAGACTTGATCACGGTGTTGTCGTCTGCTTCTCCCCCTTCAATAACGCTCAATTCAGTGACATACTGGGCATCAATGGCGCTGATCGCATCAACTGCTGGGGACAAGTACGGGAACTTGCCATCTTTACAGTGCTTACGAGAAATCGACTTGAAGTCTGAATTTGCAACTGTATCAAGCTGAGATACTGCCAAATTAAGCGACGAATCCACTATGGAGTCCAAAAGCTCCTTGATATAAAACTTCTCATCATCCAGATCGATATCCTGCTCCTGTAACTTGTTCTGGTGCTGTTGGTAGATGCATTCCAACCCACACCTGGCAATGGAAAGAGCATTGACTGCCCCTTCCCATTGTTTCTTGTGAATGGAGTAGATTCCTTGAATCAAGGCTGTGTATACGTAGGTCTCAACCTTGACAAGTTGATCCTGTTCGGCTTGGGAAACTTCCAACAACTTCTTGGCGTTGTGCAATGATCTCTTGATTCTACTGAGCATGAGATTCTTGTAGGAGCCAGCCAGCTCATTGCCAATTTCCATAAGGTACTTCAATTCTCTCGAGTATGCGTAATCTCTCTCGGAAGTGAGCAACAACAACAACCCATATTTGGAGTCTTTGGCATAATCGTCCTGGCTGATCTTGGTCTGTTGTTCCTTGTCCTTGTAGTTCTTTGTGTCCCCAGTTACTATGTTCAAGTCATGACGTAATCTTCTTATTCTGCGGTTTATACGCTTTCTGTGTTTGTGGAAATCCTCCGCCGTGTCAAGGAAGGCACTGATAGAGGCTCCGAAAGTGATATCGAGGGGCGAATCCATTGTTTAGAGTGCTTGTAGTGAACTGCAAGTGGTTCCAAGTGTATCCCAAAAAAACTGCAAAAAAATCGAAAAATCGTCGGTATGGTTTTGGGGTGCGCACGACCGATACTAGCGGGTGGTTGCACGAGACAGCTAAGCTACGGAGTTGGCAGAAGTGGTGATGGGTGGGATGCTGGGGGTTGTTGAGGAAGGGAGTTGGAGAGGTGGTTGTACGTTGCTTGAAGCTTTGCTTTCAATTTGAAATAAGGGTAAAACTCGGGTGCAAGTGGCATAGTACTGAAGCAATGTGGCTCTTTTGCACCCAATTTCCAAAGCTTCGTGCCCGCGCATAGCTAATGATAGTCAGGAACCAGCAGGTACAAAGTGTGCACGGTGTGCATGACCTGGGTCATCAGTACGGCCAAGTAAGTATGTTGAGGGTGGCTGCGACCTATCAATGGGGGTCCTCGAAGTGTCTCTGTTCTCCATGAAGTACTTCCTGTCACCTTCAACAGGTGCAAAAGTAATGCAAAAAAAATGGTCCCTAGCAGGATCGAACTGCTGATCTCGGCGTTATTAGCACCGCGCCTTAACCAACTGGGCCAAGGGACCATCTACGAGTTTAGAGAAAGGTGGACTAGCTAGCAGCCAACATTTTATGCGTACCAATGTGAATAGACTCCTATGGTCTGTTGACTTTGATGTTCAACTACATCATAAGGTATTCGTTGATAGTTACAGGGCAAAGATGTTTAGCACTCACTCCCAAAACAGCAAATCTGGCTTTAGCATTCGAAAAATTTCCCTTCTGGTTGACTTCGAGCTGACTGATGTTCAGATGCCTTTGCTTTATCCTTTAGTAAGACTGAGTACTAATAGTACTCCACTTTACATATTAATTCGTTTTCCTCAAAAACCATACTGCCTCCCATTATGAATTTAGTATCTACATCTATATACTGTTGTTTCTTTTCCAAGCTCCCTTCATTCTCATATTGATCTGACCGAAACAAGACTGATATGGAATCATTTCTAGGTAATTGGTATCTAATATCTCCTTTGGTGATATGGTGGTATAGATCTTGAAAACAGAAAGTGGTCTCCATATCAAGTCGATAGACTCTCTTCTTCTCCTTGGACTCGGAGGAATTGAAAGATTCATCCTATACATCCTTTTGTATTTGCTGAGTAACCTGAATTCAGCATCTAATGTTGTGTTGACTGAGTCTGCAATACTACTTGGAACAAAAGCGCCCACCCTCCATGGCTCGGCTGGAAGCAGCTCAAAATTAGTATGTTCGGTGATGATGATCCTTCCCTTTCTCCTCCTGGCTGGCTCTGGTTTAGCTACCCTGTAGCTTGGCCTCCTTGTCCTTCTGCTTTTTGTCACGTAGTTTTCCTGGAGGCGCTCCCCAACATAGTCTTGGCTATCCTCAAATGCTTCCAAAGTAGACCGAAGTAAGCCATCGATGTCAATTTGCTCATGAGTTTCTGGGTCAGCATAGTCAGTATCGAACAAATTTGAATTCATTAAATCAAAATGTGTGTACATTTGGCTTTCACCAGAGAAGTATTGCATGTATGTGCTTTCAGTGTGCAAAGTTTATAGATGGGTTGCAGCAAGGTATAAGTATAGCAGGTATATGCAGTTATTAAGTCGTGATAGCGGCGTGTAATGGATAGATGGGGTGTAGCTAGCTAAGTAAAGTTGTCCAATTTCATCATCTAAGTAGCTATACTTTCTTCTTATGTCAGAATATTCCACTCGTTGTTTTGCAAACTGGGCATCTCACCTCATCTGTTTGTACGCTAATTCTTAAACACGTTGGATACTATCTGCCACTACTCTTTGTGTCCCTATATTCAAATAGAAAAATATCCATATTGGCACCAATATACCCCAACCAAAGATAGTAGGTCACCGAACTGTGCCATTTTGTAATTCCATTGAACGTAGACATCCACTTTCTTCACTCGTTAAAGTTGCCTCCTTTCAAATTGCAGCTTATTTTTTTACATGCAGTTTTTCTCCACATTCAGCATATTTGTAACCAATTGGCGATGATTAATACCTAACAGGTGCCATTTTGCACTCCCATTGAACGTAGACATCCGCTTTCCTCATTCGTTATAGTTTCCCCATTTTAAAATTGCAGCCTAAATTGCTGCATGCTGTTTTCGTCCACCTGCAGCATCTTTGCAGCCAATGGGCGATGACTAGTGCCTAAAAGGGAAGGTGTAAGCAAGCCTGACTTAGAACCCAAACCAAAGAACAAGAGAACACTCAGTGGTGAATAGTCGTTTTCACTTGTCTATCTATAAATCAATGTGTTCTTGGTGTGCTACGTAGTACATCCTACCATTGGGACCTTCATCTTTATCTTTTTTTCTCGTATTTTTCAGTTATCCGCAAGTATGATTCATTAAATATTTTTCAGATTTTTCAGTTGCGAGTGAAAAACTTAGATAGTGAAAAAATCGAACAGCTTAAAAGACGAAAAGCTGACGTAGAATAAGATACAAAGATAATTGTGTCACTTACATATGTCGACTTTAACTCGCCTTACTTACAGGAGAAATCCTCTATTATCGAGAGGGTTGCCAAAATTCTCTAGATTTAATAGCTCTACTGCAAGCACTGCCACTCCTCTCAGAAATACGAAATACCCAGAACTCTGCGAAGATGAACTTAACGAAGATGGTAGTCCAAACTATATTAAACTTATCTTAACTTCAAGAGTATACGATGTAGTAGATAGAGCAGGTACTCCTCTTAACTACGCAGTAAATTTATCGCATAAGTGTAATACAAATATTCATTTAAAACGTGAAGATTTGTTGCCGGTGTTTTCCTTCAAATTGCGTGGAGCTTACAATATGGTTTCAAACTTGCACACCAAGTCCAAGACCCCGCTTGAAGGTGTTATTGCTTGCTCAGCTGGTAACCATGCTCAAGGTGTTGCCTACAGTGCTAATAAGTTGAAAATCCCCTCTACTATTGTTATGCCAACTGCCACTCCCTCAATCAAATATTCAAATGTTTCTAGGTTGGGATCCCAAGTGGTTTTGTATGGGGACGATTTTGATTCCGCTAAGCAAGAATGTGATAGGTTAGCCGCTCTTAATGGACTTACTAATATCCCTCCATTTAACCACCCATATGTTGTTGCTGGACAAGGTACCATTGCTTTGGAGATCACTAGACAAATTAGGTTAGATAAGCTTAATGCCATCTTCGTACCTGTTGGTGGTGGTGGGCTCATTGCTGGATTAGCTGTCTACTTGAAGAAGATTGCTCCTCATGTTAAAATTATTGGTGTAGAAACTTATGATGCTGATGCTCTCTATCAGTCATTGAAAGCCAAGAAATCGGTTACTTTAGATTCAGTCGGTGTCTTTGCTGATGGTACTGCCGTTAAGGTGTTGGGAGACGAAACTTGGAGAATTTGTAAGGATCACGTAGATGAAGTTGTTAGAGTACTGACAGATGAGTTATGTGCTGCTATCAAGGATATTTTTGAAGACACAAGACTGATCGTTGAACCATCTGGTGCATTATCTGTTGCCGGGTTGAAGAAATATGTTCACGAAACCAAGTCAACAATTGACCACAGAGATAAGAATTACGTTCCAATTCTTTCTGGTGCTAACATTAACTTTGATAGATTAAGATTCGTCAGTGAAAGAGCTGTTTTGGGAGAAGGTAAGGAAGTCTCGTTGGTTGTTACCATTCCCGAAAGACCTGGTGAATTTGCCAAGTTACAGAAGATTATCAACCCAAGAGCTATCACTGAATTTTCTTACAGATATAACTCAAATGAACCAGCCAATATTTATGTCAGTTTCAATGTTGTCAACAAAGAGAAGGAAATGGGCAATGTCATTGAAACCATGAGAGATTCCGAGCATAATTATGGTGTTGTTGATATCTCCGAAAATGAGTTAGCCAAGACTCATGGTCGTTACTTGGTTGGTGGTAAGCCTCCAACTGGTTGCACTAAGGTTAAAAATGAAAGACTCTACCAATTTGAATTCCCGGAAAGACCAGGTGCGTTATACAACTTCTTGCAAGCCTTGAAGAATGATTGGGATATCACTTTGTTCCACTACAGAAACCATGGACACGATGTTGGTAAGATATTGTGTGCCTTCGTCTTACCTGAAGGAACCGAAGAGCAAGATTTCCAAAATTTCTTAAGTGAATTGGACTACAAGTACGTTGATGTAACTGATGACGTTGTATATAAGAAGTTTTTACATTAGAAGCATGATAGATTGATTTACGTTTATATACGTTTATTATTAATTATTATAAGTTGTATTATCTATTTACAGGTTTATGCTATTTCATTATTCTTTGATCACATTTATCCACTTCTTCTTAAGAATGCTTGGTAAGCTTCGTGTTTAATAGTCACCACTCCGTTGGCCTTCATTTGCTTTTTCCCTTCCTTCTGTCTTTCCAACAACTTCTTCCTTCTGGAGATATCTGCAGCATGTAGTTTGGCTGTAACGTCTTTTCTTTTTCCTTTTATTGTTGATCTTGCAACTGCTTTGTTGTTTACTTTGGCTTGGATTGCAACGTCAAAAAGTTCATATCTAAGATATTTCTTAAATTCGTCAACGTATTCTCTCCCTCTACTGGCGGCTTGTGATCTGTGCATAACTTGAGCCAAAGCATCTTGAGATTGACCATTAACACAAAGTTCAAGTTTGACTATATCTGATTTCTTGTAGCCGGCGTCTTCATAGTCCAATGATCCATATCCTTTTGTACAACCTTTCAATTTCCCAAATAAATCTTCAACCAAATGTGCTAGAGGAATTTCATACTTCATTATTACTTGTCCATTTGTTAAGTACTCTACATCTTCTGATATTGCTCTATTGCTGTCAAGTAATGACATCACGGTTCCGACATATTCTCCAGGTACTGTGATAATCGCTCCCACATAAGGTTCCATAAGCTTTTCAACTTTATGCTTTTCATCTATATCTGGAAAGTCATCTGGATTGGTAATAACTTTCTCTTCTCCCAGTTTATAAACTATCTTATAAGGTACTGTAGGAGCAGTGAGAATGATCTTGGCACCATATTCTTTTTCAAGTCTTTCTTTGAACACCAGGGCATGCAAAGATCCCAAAAATCCCAATCTCCAACCCAAGCCAAGAGCAGAAGATGTTTCCTTCGCCAAAGTTACAGATCTATCATTTAACACTAAATTCTCCATATGATCATTCATAACTTTGAACTCCACACCTTCTGCTGGGAAAGCACCCATAAAAACCATTGGTTTAGGTTCTTCGAAACCAGGCAAAGGTTCAATTCCACCTTCATGTTGGCCAATCTTGAAGAACGTATCACCAATCATAGCTTCACGAGGGTTTCTCATCCCGGGAATTACATAGCCTACTTGACCTGATCTTAAGCAGTCCATTGGAATCTTGTCTGGATACATAATACCGCATTCCTTCACATCATAACGCTTTTCCGAATGAGCTGAAATTAACTTGTCACCTTTTTTTAAAGTACCATCAGCAACATAAATTAACATCACCACTCCTACGTATGGGTCATGCCAGCAATCCACTAAAAGCGCCTTCAATGGGTTACTTGAATTTCCTGTAGGAGAAGGCATTTTCTCGACAATTGAGGGGATGATCAGCTCTACGTTCAAACCAGTTTTAGCACTCACTGATAGACAATCTTCACGGGGTAATTCAAAGGTATTTTCCACTTGTTCAATTGCTCTGGGGATATCTGCCGCGTCTAAATCGATTTTATTGATCACTGGGATCATTTTCAACCCCAAGCTGTATGCTAAATAGAAGTTTGCAACTGTCTGTGCCTGTATACCTTGAGATGCATCGACGATAAGTAATGCACCCCCACAAGAGGCATAGGACCTTGAAACTTCCGCTCTAAAGTCTACATGTCCAGGGGTATCCACAAGATGCAATAAATATTCTTCTTTGGTCTTGGGATCTACAAAAAACATAGAACAAGTTTGCGCTTTAACAGTAATTCCACGTTCTCTCTCTACATCCAATCGATCTAACACCTGCTTATTCCCATCACCTTCTTGAATAACACCGGTAAGTTCAAGAAGTCTATCTGAAAGCGTAGACTTCCCATGATCAACATGCGCCACTATACTGAAGTTTCTATAATTTTCTATGGGAATTTTGGCGATTCTCTCCTGGAGTTCTTTTCTATAATTTTCTTTATCAAGGTTCAATCTCTTCTCTACAATAGGAGAGGAAGTGGAAGTGTTAGAAGCACAGCGGAAGCTGGAGACACTCCATGATGACTTGGGTATTATTCGCTGAAGGGGCTTGTATAGTCTTATCATTCATAAATCTTCCGTGTATGTACACTTTTAAGCTAGCCTAGGTGGTAAGAAGATGAAGTGAAAAATTTCAATTTGATGGTACGAAAAAATTTTGAGATCGACATACTCATGAAACCAAAATGTAGATATAGCACCCTATAACTCTACAACTTACAAGTTTATATAACTCTAAGTCGTCGCTTATTTGTGATTATGTTCATTTCTTTATTATTTAATTGCTAATTAATTTTATTTCTTGGGAAATAAGCTGGATCATTCCCCTTTGGCAAACTCATGGATAAACTCAACGAGTAACTTCACACTGTCCAAACTCACAGCGTTATATATTGATGCTCTCATTCCACCAACTGATCTGTGACCTTTCAAGCCAGTAAGTTTCCTCTCTGCGGCATCAGAGATAAATACGCCATCCTTAGAGTCATCCTTCAAAGTGAACACAACATTCATCTTTGAGCGAACCTTGGGGTCTACTGGAACAGTGTAGACCTCAGGGTATTGGTCCAAGGCGGTATAGAGTAAGGAGGCCTTCTCTTCGTTGATCTTTTGAATTGCCTCAATTCCACCACTGGCTATTAATTTAGCCAAAACCAACTTCAAAATATGAGTGGTGAAAATTGGGATAGTATTATACGCAGAATTGTTGGCAATCACTGTGGGGTAGTGGAAAGCTATTGGTGCTAATGGAATTCCTAATTCCTTTAATTTGGCATCGTCTGCATGCTCTATCAATGACTTCTTAATGATATAAATGGTAATACCTGCCAATCCTACATTCTTTTGAGCACCAGCCATTATCAAACCGTACTTGGCAACATCGATCTTCTTACTTAATATGTTAGATGACATGTCGGCCACCAATTCCACTCCTTCAGGTATGTAATCAGCACTTGGAATGTCTTGAAATTCGGTACCGTTAACAGTCTCATTGTCACAAACGTACAAGAATGAAGTATTCTCGGCATCGATTGGTTTCCATTCACTGTATGGTGGTATAGCCGTGAACTTTGAGGATGCCTTGGTATCAACCACAACATCAACATCGAATCCTAATCTCACAGCCTCTTCAGCTGACTTCTTGGACCATGATCCAGTAACTGCATAGGCTCCTTTACCCTTTTTACCTGTCTTAGCGGCATAGTTGGCAATTAAGTTGTAGGCGATGGATGAGAATCCAGAGGTACCACCACCTTGCAAGAAAAATACTTCATGCGTGTCTGGGATGTTTAACAATTCTTTCAAGTGAGCCTTTGTGTCATCGATTACCTTAATTGCGGGTTTTGAACGGTGAGAAATTTCACCGATTCCAACGTTTTCTCCTTGGTAACTGATTAAATCGTAAGCAGCTTCTTGAAGAACACTAGTTGGCAATATAGCAGGACCAGCACCAAAGTAATTTGGTTCTTCACGGTCTAAGACTTTGGCTGACATTTTACAAAGAGGGTTTTAATTATAAATAGAAATTACAACGGTAAATTGTATTCAAAGAAATTGGATAAAACTTAACAAAGAAGAAAAAATATTATTCCAGAAATAAGTTTTATACTTATGTTGATGTCTATGACTGACTCAATGGTGATCGAGTCAGAGCAAATTTGAAAAAAAAAAAAAATATTTTTAAACTTTGCGAATATGAAAAATCAATATATTAGACTTGACTCAGATATTTGCAGCCATTAAAGATAGGCCTTAGAGGTAGAATTGCTTATAAAGGTGTGTTTGGTGGTGTTCTGGTTATTGAGAGAGCGTCAGTACTGGTTATTCTTCAAAAATTGTGTTTTATTTTCTCTATATGCATATCTATATTAATGATGGTGTGAATCCTCAGTGCGGTTGGCTTGCATGAGAATGTGTCGCACCCATTTGGAAAGCAGTGTGCCATAGTAGAGGTACACCTTCTCTCTCCAATATCAGTTCTGGCTCTTGGACAAGATCGACTGTTCCACGTTGATATATCCAGTAACAGTATGGGTAATTTTCATCAAAATTTAGAGTAAGGTTGAAGTTTAGCTAATTTTGGTGACACTATCAAGCTAAGCGTAGGAATGTGCAGAGCGAAGTTGTCAAGTGTATAGTACGTAGATATGTTCTGAACAACCTCCTAAGTGTAAGATACGTAGGATGCGATACGTAGGCATGTTCAGTACAAGGACCTAAGTGTATGATTTCCATTGCTGTTCGCGTACCGCCCATAGAGCGAGAATATAACTCTGCTTGATAGTTGACGTATTCATTACCTCAGCTAATGGTATGGCTAACTGAAGTTTGGTATAGCCCACCTTCATACTTTTGCTCATGAGTTACTCCAAGAATTACCGAGCCAGATTTCTGAGCATAAATCTAAAGGGAAGAATCATTGGTTTGGTTATTCCGTCAGTTCAATCATGAATTGTCTTAATACTCTTCAGGTTCATCACTTCGTTTTAGCCAGTTCAAGCTGTCGCTAGTGGGTAGTTACTGATGTAATCAGTGCATGTTTTTTCATCTGATATTTCAATTTGATATGATATTTTAACAGATTCATTAACCCAAGCTATATCAAAGTCGCTACCGCTACGTTTCCTAACTTGTCATAAAGCAGCTTCTTAACTTCAAACAAAAGCCCAAAAAAGCAGTTTGAGCTGAGAGATATTCAATTTAATCATAACTTCTCACTCCACTAACATAGTAAATAATCTCCACCTCATTAGTTTCATCCAAATAGCAATGGAGTACACAAGAATCTCCATGTGATATCAAGAATATAACCGTATGGCAAGTAGCTACAATCTTTGAAGCCATTCTCCAATCCTTTAATCTAACTGTGATTTCATTTTCCACCTCAGTCTCTTCAGCATTAGTATGGCCCTCGTTCTGTAATGTATACTCTTCTAAGACGTTCTGCATCAGATCGCTATTGAAATTGGAATTAACAGGCTTCTGTATCACTAGTTCTTTGTTCCAGCTTATGGTTACTTTATAAATGCCTTCCTCTTGTAATACAAACGCCAAATAGCCCCCATTTCGTCTACTTGACCGTATAGTCATCAAATCATTGGAATTATTATTACTGCTACTTTCGGATTTCTTAAATTTGTCAAGCCTTTTATAGGTATTGACGAATTCATTAGGTAGCTTCATCATCAAATCAACATTTTCAAGTTCTGGCTCTCTTAGTAAAATAGCTTCATGGGTGTTCTTCAAGATTTTTACAGGGATACGGAACGTATGATTTACAGTATTGGTATTGATATTTGTGTCGGAATAGTATAATGCAAGCGATGCGGTCCTACTGTTGCCCTGTGTGATGCCCTGTTGACCTGTCAGCTCCTTCTTCTGTAATATAATATTCAAACCGCTGTCTGAGTTCGCCTTGTCAAAATTTCTTAGCGTTTGCAATAGCAATTCAACATTGATTTCTAGCAGAATTGTGTTGTCTCGAAGAGACTGAACTTCTATTTGATCAAACAAGTTCCCAATTTGAAGCTTACACCATACTTGTGGTTCCAGACTTATCGACTGGCCATTTACCAGGATTATCTGCAATTGCAGTGGAGAGAATCTTAGTATAACAAATTTTCGGATAGGTGAGATCAACGATAGCGTCGTTTTCAAAGTCTCGGTATTAAGGGTGTGTAGCTTCAACTTCATGATCAAAGGTAAAGAATAATCTAGTACAAGGTGCTCCCGGTAAAAGAAACCTTGAGTTGGAATAGTTGAATACCTCGCGAGAGACGTTAACAAGCTGCGAAATATGGAATTCCCATATCGACAAAATCGGCCACTCTCCAAGAACTGTCGCTAGGTAACTATGTGTATCTGAATATAAAGTGTTCTACATGGTCAGCATTGGCTATCCATGCCATTGGAGAGGTACTTTGGTGCTATTTGTAAGAAATTGACAGTAATTAAGATCAATGAGCCAAGTCCGCAGAGTCCATCCTACATCGCTTACATCTCTTCTCGTTTATATCAAGGCAAGAACATGCTTGCATCATTTTATTTTATACTAATATACATTATTTTCGCCCTGGCTACCTCACATCTGGATGATACATTCATTAGCTACTCATACTTGAGCTTTCAAGACAATAATTACAGAATCTCCTCTTAAGAACATTTTCGAAACAAATCTCTCTTTGGAAATCGACTTGATCTTCTTACCTTTACTGTTTTTCACTGGCTCACTCCATAACTCCTTTACGTTTTCTAATATCATATTACAGTGCCTGTCAAACGCTTTGATCTTCGCTATAAGTTTATGGTTATTACGACATGATATCACCACTGGTGTGTTGTCATTCACAGCATTTTGTAATACTGACATTGGTCCATTGGCAAATTCAAACTCCTCCAATCTTTGAAGCTCTAGCTCGGTGAGTTCTGAACGCGGTCTATCTATTAATTCGCTGAAAATCTTGTTAGTACTTCTTCTATCACTTTCTACTTCGAAATTGGTATCTACATACGACATGTTTACGACTTTTATGTATCTTATTCATATATAAGTTGTTGCCTATTCACCTAACTAAACATCACATCTATACAGCTATAAATGTTCCGCGCACGCCCAGGCTGCTTCACTATTTTTTTTTTTTTTTTCAATTTTCCACATGGAGTCTGCATATAGGAAATGGTTGCAATTATAGTAACTATTACATTTGGTCATATAACATCCCCTTTTATACTCCATTTTTCTTTATATAATGTACATATGTAGCTATGCTGCCTTTTGATACTTACTGAGAGGCGCAGCTAGTCCGCATCCTCTCTTAATAACGTTTTCTACTCTATCTCTTAATACTTTTGATCCACATTCCACACTAAGATTGAGATAATCTATGCGAGCTTCTGTCTTCCCAATTTTGATCACAGCTTGTTCATTTTCCTTACCTTCTACTGTCGTAAATGTGTCACCAAACTGTGCACGGAGTAAAGTCGATATCCTATGGATTCTCAGTGAGATTGCACTGTTTGCATGGGCAGACTTTCCAGATGAACCATTGGAGTCTTCTTCGATAGCACCATCATCTTCGTTCTCTACCTTCACATGGTGACTGTGAGAACACTTCTTTGATGACAATTTAACAGAAGCAGGTGACGAGTCTACGGAATAAAGGATAGCCACAATACTGTCGGCCAATGAGTCTGCCATTAAATTATCGTTTATCCATTCCACTGAAATTATTAACCCTCTGCTTCCTTCTCCTATACCTCCAGAATACTTGATGGTGGCGTTGTGATCAACTATAACACTTATTAAGTCCATAATTAAAACTTCCCACTCATCTTCGTCATCGTTAATGACCTCGATGTATCCAAACATCTGCTCCAAATGCCATTTAATCAAGTCTATGTTGGCATTTATCTTAAGGTTGATTTTAGACTTAACAATGGAAGTGGAAAGCTGAGTGTACTCGTGAAGATCTTGCAATTGCAATAAATTGAGATCGAAATCCTTCGATACCAAGAGTCCAGAAACTGGCTGCTCAGCTTTAATCACCGATTCACCATTTATCTCCTCCTCTTCCTCCTTCTTCACTTGTTCTGCTCCATCCATGTCTACATCTTTATCTTCTTTTTCTTCTTCAATGCCTTCTTCTTCCTTTATCTCCTCCACCTTAACGTTTTCCTCTTCCACTCTTCTATCAATTTCTCTTTTCAACATTGATAACTGCTCTTCACCTAAAGAACCTAAAACTTTGGCGATTCTCAAACCTTTAATCTTCAATCTTAATTCATCACAGTTTCTAGGATTGAACACCTTTACCTCCTGTTCAGTGCCCTTCCTTGTAGAATACTTACTCAACAAGGCTGACTTTAATCTTCCCATGGGGTTACTTTCACCGTGAACCAAGATGATTTTCAGCGGGTTCACTTCATCTATAAATCCGGCATTCTGTTCAAAGTCAACGTGAGCTGCAAACGAAATTTCTTCAATGTTCAATCTACGTGGAATTGTTTTCTCAGAGTTTGTAATAGACTGAATTGTGTGTGGTTCTGTTAATAGTTCCTTGGCCATTGTACCCTCCACAGAGTAACCGGTCATAATGACAGCATTCTTTGGATCAGGTGCCCACTTTTCCAATAACTCTCTCGATACACCACTCTGCAACATACCAGGAGAAGCCACCACTACACAGGGGCCAAAATCTTGGAACTTATCAAGACTTTTGATCGACTTAATATACTTAAATTGGAACGGGTTTGATTTGCCAGAACTAGATGACGTCGACGATGAGCTAGGGTTGGAATTCAACCGGATGTTATCATTCATAATATTGGTGTATGTTTGATACACAGCCATACACTTTCTGGCCAAAGACGATGCATAGTAAATGTTTATTCCCCGCAAATCCTCGTTCTGCGACCAGTACTCTTCCAAAATCAAAAGCAACTCTTGCGCTCTACCAAGAGCGAATACGGGCATGAGTATTCTTCCACCTTTGGCCAAGGTGGAATGTATTATATTGGTCATTCTGGCCTCCTTTTCTAACCTTGGCTCGTGAGTAGCTGTACCGAAAGTAGACTCACAAATCAAGATATCTGGCTTCTGAGGTGGGACCTCAGCTACGTGCAAGTGACGGTCCTCTTCTCTAGAGTAGTCACCCGTAAACAAGATCTTCAAGCCCCCAATCTCTATAAAATACATACAGGCCCCCAATACATGCCCAGCATGGTAGGCTGTGAACCTGATCCCATCGATTTCGATAGTGGAATGGTAGTCGATGGTTTCAATACGATCGAACGATCTCATCAAGTCAACGTCGGTATAGAGATTGGACGACGAGTCGTCCTTGTCGTCTTTCCCATCCCCTCCCGATGTTGGTCCTCCACCGCCTCTTGAATCCCCACCGCTTCCAATTGACGTGACCCTGACGAAATCTGAAAGCAACCACCTGTAGATTGCCTTGGTGGCATGGGTCATGAACACACGGCCCTTGAAGTTCGTGTGCTGCATAACGTAAGGTAACGATGCCGCATGGTCCAAATGGAAGTGCGATATCAACAATATGTCAACCTTGGACAAATCGAACTCGTCATAGAAGGGCAACGATGACAATCCATTCAATCCTGGATGCACCCCAGCGTCTAGCATGATTGTTTTGTTCTTGTACTGGATCACATGGCAGGATCTTCCAACCTCGTTACATCCCCCTAGACCGAAAAACTTGAAGTCATCTGAGTCGTCTGACATATTGGCAAGTTTCTGACGGTGTTAGCAAGCGTATATATGGTGTATTGGCAGACTAACTGGAGAAGAAGCTGAACACAAATGGAGCGGAAGATTTTTGGGAGGAAACCGAATTTTTCATATTGGTTATATGCAGGATTTGCATGAAGTGCAACTAATGGGTGCAAGAGGAGGAGGAGATGGGGAGGAAAGGGGCATGCGAGGAGGAAAGAGGCGGGGGAGTGAGAGGTGGCGGAGTGAGAGGGAGAGGAAGATAATTAGTGCTGCGCTATTGTTTATACCTTTATTAAATACATTACTCGCTACTATACATTCAAATTCTTTGTGGCCCATCGCATTTCTAGAGCTGACTGAGCGACAGCATCGAAATTGGGACTCTGATTAGACATAAGGTGTCGCAGGCAAAGAGCATTAGGTGTCTAAATCCCACAACGGAACACGTTCTGTCTTTGATGCCTGAATTTGATCACCTCGTGACGCTCTAAAATATACAATGCCTTATCCAAAGCAGCCACACTGGCCTTCCCTGAATCGACAAGCTCTCTTCTTAAGGTCTTATATGCCGTTGACCAACCAATGGGCAATCTTCTACGTAATTCTTGCTCCACTTTCTTGATTTCCTTATTCATCTCTCCGGTGGTAATCAACCCACCGCTCGATACACCTTGGTCAACTGCGTCCATGGTGGAAGCAGTGAACAATCTGATAGCCTCTTCGACATGCTCAGACGTAGCCACTGGTGACAAGGTGAGTTTGGCCAAGGATTCCGTTATACGGATAATGGCTTCCAATTGTCTCACAGTGATGGGGATCGAAGATCTTTCATTCATCTCACTTTCATTGATCTGCAAACGTTTTCTGATGGAAACGAAATGTGATGATAATCTTTCCAGTGCATCTGCACTTAATCTTGGTGCACATTTAGTCTTCACATATTGAATGTATCTCTTCATTGTTTCCACAGGGATTTCTCCCTCTTGGTTACTATCTTCGTTGTTATTGGAACCAGTATGAATGTTCATAACGTGCTTGGCAATAGTTATATCTCTTGCTTCATTGTGTTCATCCTTAACAATGAAAATCATATCAAATCTGGACAAGATTGTACTTTGGAAATCGATGTTTTCACCTGGACTCTTCAAGTCATCGTATCTACCAAAAACTGGGTTAGCAGCGGCCAATACTGAAGTTCTGGAATTCAATATCGTAGTTATACCTGCCTTAGCGATGGATATGGTTTGTTGCTCCATTGCTTCGTGAATGGCCACTCTGTCTTCGTCTCTCATCTTGTCAAATTCATCGATACAAACCACACCTCCATCTGCCAAAACCATGGCACCTCCTTCCAAGTAGAAGTCTCTGGTGGTGGGATCTCTCTGAACGGAAGCAGTTAAACCAGCAGCGGACGAACCCTTACCTGAAGTATACACCGATATTGGAGAAACCTTCTCGACAAACTTTAACAATTGGGATTTGGCAGTACCTGGATCACCCAAGAGCAACACATTTATATCACCTCTCAATCTCATCCCATCTGGTAAGATTTTCTTAGAGCCTCCCATAAGCAAGCAAGTTATGGCTTTCTTGATGTCATCGTTTCCGAAAATTGAGGGAGCAATCGACTTGGCGAAAGCTTCGTACAAATTGGGCAATCTGGACAACTTTAAGAATTCCTCTTCTTCTTCTTCTGAGAAGGTCAAACCACCTCCATTGAGATTCTCACCTTCACTTTGGATCCCCAAGATTTTCATATATGGATTGCGAATGGCAACTGCTCCTCCTACACCGTTTCCACCGGACTTTTGCTTGGACTGGTAGATAGAATAGATCCCAACAAGAGTTACTTTACTTCCAGGGACCACCTGGTTGGTCATATATCTGTCGGCTTGTAAAATAATGTGCCTTGGCATTTCACCAACAGGGACATTATCTGGAGATTCTTGAAGCTTCAATACCTGTTGATCGACAAAGCTGGACTTGTCGTGTACTATAGTATATGGGTCGCTAGGGCACTTGTTAGCATTATCTTCCATGTTGTGTGTACCCTGACACTTGTTGGGTAACTGCAACTGGCCGAACCCGTTATTTACCTTCAACTTCATGGTGTGTCTACAATTTCTACAAAGCAACTGTACCTGTGTAGCTCTGGAACTCAACACTGACGCCGAGATGATTATTCCACTGATACGAACAATCTTCGAGATGTGATCGGAGTCCAAATCTCTGATGGAAGTCTTCATGGCATTGGAGTATAAGATCAATTGACAGTTATTAGTGAAGTCTTCAGGGACTTCGTCATTGGAAAGGTATGCGATTCTCTTGGCGATCTGGGTGATGGCGCTCTCGAAGAGAGGAATCATTTCGATGGGGTCATCGTTAAGTTTCTTGTTCAATTCTTCATTGAAGGCAATGAGATGCTCGGTATTCACCTTAAGGTAGTAGTTTTTGATAAGCAAATTCTCTCTGAGTTGATCACGGTAGATAAACTGAGTGTTCAAACGGAACTCTAAGATGAAAGACCGGAAGACTTTGACGATCTCATTAAATGAGTTATCGGCTGGCGTCTCACCAGGCAAGACGTTGGTGGAGTATATATCAGCTCTTTCGTACGACATGGCTGGATTTCAGTAAAAACGAAAGTCTAAGTAACGTCTGTTGAACTAACGTGAAAGAACCAAATACGCTAAAAGAAAGATAAACAGAATATCGATCCTCTGATGGCTAGTAAGGAAAAGTATGGGTGAAAAATTGTACCGAGACGTGTACGAGACGCACTTAGACGTCCGAAAAGGGAAAAATGGAAAGCGAGCGAGCGCGTTTTTTTTTTTGATTGCAGGTTTAATTAGGTGCATATCTAACACATCCAAACACCAGCTGGAAGCGGTTGCAAGTGGTGCTAGAGCGTGAGTACTGAGTGGAGTGGAGTGGGTAGGTTGAATGCTGCAGGCACAGGAGTGTCGTATGGTTCATGTGGGTGCGTAGCTGAAGCTGCGCGCTGTCGCTGTTTTTTGAAATTGCTAGAAGAGTAGCGGGTGGTGGCTCTCTTAGGCACTTGGCCATTCTTCTATCTGGTGCTTTTGTTTGGTGCTGCATACAGACGGCTGGCAGCCTTCACAAACGCTTATAGGGCCACCACCCATAGCGTATTAGCACCAGCTCTTCTATAGATCCTAGTAGCTCGATGTTCGCCTTTCGCAGCTATAGTCCAGTGCTGGCGCGGTTCCGTTTCCTTCGTTCCTTTGCTGGCTCGTGTCCCAGCGGCGTACCAATACCGAAGAAGAATAAATTGCCTCCTAGACCAAAATGGCTCATAGTCGAAGAAGAGATCGATGAGAAATTTCTCAAAGGTGGACGGGGCCCTGGCGGACAGAAGATCAACAAAACAAACTCCAAAGTACAGCTAACGCACAAGCCAACCGGATTGGTGGTGACTTGCCAGTATTCGAGGTCTCAGGAAAGTAACCGAAAGAAGGCAAGGGAGATATTGGCCTTGAAGTTGGAAGAGCAGCAGAACCCTGAAAATTCTCGAACCGCAGTACTAAATTTGCGTAAAAGCATGGTCAAGCAAAGCAAAGCGAAAAAGCTGAATAAGAAGTATAAGGAGATTGAGGCTAAAAGAGCGGAGGATAAGGAAAGGAGAGAATTGGAGGACAGGGCGTTGTTGGAAGGATTCAGCGATGACGAACCTTTATAATGTGTATAGTAGTAGCAACGGAATGCGATGCGATCTCATGAAAATTGCGACCTGCTTAATAATTTTGTTATGGTTTACGCAATTTGCAGCCAAAACTACTGGCATGTATATGTATTTATATATATGTATACATATATTCATTTTTATAGGTCCATATATATAAGTATTTCTATAGGTGTATATATATATATATTTAGAGGTGTATATATTCACTTACACACGTATAATACCTTTATCTGTAATTCTGTTAAATTAGTACACCCAATATGGAGATGAGGTACCTCCTAGTGTGCATAATTGTACCTACAGTGTCAATGGTTATGTTCTTTCTTTCAGTGCTTTGGTTCATCTCTACCAGGCTGAGACAGAAACATGAGGTCAGCGATAGTCCGATCACCATTCCCAGCACGACGGTCGAAGATGAATCTGCTTTACCTACGGTCCTAATGAAGACATTCGTGAACGAATCCCCTATTAAATCTGCAGTTGACCCTTACCTGGAAGGTGTCATTTCAGTGGGTCAAATAGTGGTAGTAATCAAGCCATACTATCTGCCACCTACCGACATAATTCAACCCGGTGATCTTTTAAGACTTACGAAAATTTATTTCCACGCTGATAATGATGATGATGATGATCATCATCATCTTCATCGTGATAGTTTTCCTGATAATAATGCATGTATTGGAAGGAATGATCCTCTATATAAAAAAATAAGATGTACAGGTATCCTCTTGAGCAACTACCTTGAATTTGAGCCTACAACCAATTCAATGCAAATGAAAGACAGACATCTTATTGAAGAAAGCAATTTAGAGAGAAACTTCCCACTTGAAGCAGTCTCATTAGAGAGAACATTGCTATTCCACATCGATAATCAATCTCCTTTGTTGTTATAGGTCTTCCAATCGTCCAACGTTGTGATTGCATCTTGCCAATTTTTCCTGACAATTTCCAACTCATTCCTTAACTTGCTTATTTGTTTGGGGTCTTCTACCTGACTCTGTTTTATATGTTCCACTAAATCTAGAAGATAATGGTAATTCTTATACACATTTGTTAGCAATGGCTTGGAAATCACTTCAAATGATTCTAGTTCATTTACAAGATCGGATACATTGGCTCCACCGTTTCCACCTCGACTGCTAATGCTGTTAACTATATTATCCCTCTTCAAGCTGTCTAAATCAATCACAGAAGAAGGATTCGGAATTTGCATCTCACTTTTATTCCTGTTAAATGAAGATATTTGCAAATTCAAATCGGAATAATAAGTTGTTATTAACTGAATAAACTTAGAAAATTTAAAGTTTTCTAGTATCAAATTATCGATCAATTTACTCAAATCTATCATTAGTGATTCATACTCCAATTTAAGTGGCTCATTTAAATGCTGCAGAAGTACCAGTTGCTGCAAATCTATGCTATTATCATATACAACGGCATTATTGATTGTTGGATTATTGTTATAAATAATCGTCTGATTTAGTTCATTAATACTACCACCACTACTATTAATGTTTCTAGTCAAGGACTTTTCTATTAGCTTATCCTTCAACTGATCAATTTCGATATTTTTCTTCTTGATTCGAATCTGGAAATGGTTTCTCAAATCGTTGCCCCAGTTTTTCAATTTATTACAATCTAGGGTCAAATTTTTATTCGTAATATTCAATTCATGAATTTTACCTTCTAGTTGGACCTTCTCATTGTTCTCAAATTTCGAAATCTTACTTTCAGTGGTATTCAATTTGTTTTGTAAAACTTCCACTTGTCTACGTAAAGATTCTATTTGGGTATCCTTTTGAGAAACTATCTTATTAAACGTTTTATTCTGAACAGAGTTTCTTTCTATCGATTGAATTAGAGAGTATATTATATTAATTACATTTTTATCATTATTATAAACTTTTTCTGTTATTACTACATCTTCCTGTTCGCTCTCTGGGTGTAGCTCTTTAGTGTTTATGGTGTTAAACAACAACTTTTCTGTTATATAACCCTTCGAGGTTAGGGTTGAGTTAACCAATTCAGACGCATTCAATATGGCATCTTTATCCAAGTACGGCTTATTAGACATGATTAGGTAACAATTGAGCACTGACTCTGAGTGGAAACCAACCAACGTGAATCACTTGTCGCGTTTAGTGTTGTTTTTGTTTATGTTCCATGAAGAAGTTGATGCCAGGATCACGTGACGAAATCTCTAAGAGATGATGTTTGAGAAATCCCGTTAACATCGTAGGGAGAAGCTTATGGAGTATGAACAGCGCTGTTGTATTTATGTTTTGACGGTGACTAGAGGAATGTGTTTACATGTTGTTTTTAGCTTGGCTGGTGTACTATAATAATAATTGATGAGAATGAAAAAATCAATTATTAACGAATTAATGCTAGGTAGGTACGTTGGTTTGTAGATGGCAGTGGAGAGAGTCTAATGGATGTGGTAAAGTACGAAAAATTTCTTTCCAATTATCCATGAATTCATACTGCTATATTGAGACAGCTCCCACCAAAAATACCTGTGCGATATGTTCGATTAGGCAGAATCAGCCTCATCTGAATCGTTCTACCAACAGAGATTGAATTTACCAGTAGCTGGGTGTAGAGAAGTGTAGGCGTTGAGTATTTTGCACCCACATGTTTCAAGTTATTGTGAGGTGTGTAATATCGTTCTGCGTAGTATCTAAGTTTTGATCCATAATAACATTATCAGGATCCAGTGCATGATTCATATGCATACATACTACTAATTACTGATCCTGCTACTCTTTGCTGGTGTTTTTGCTCCTGGTTTGCTGCTAACTTAGCTGGGTGTAGCGAAGTTGAGGGTTTTTTTTTTTGCACCCATATTTTCAGGTTAAAGTGAGTTCATAGTGTCGTTCTGGCTAGTACCTAAAATTCGATCCACAATGGCAGAATAAAGAGAATTCATATTGATAGCACATATGATCATGCTCTTTTGTTGGTGTCTAGTGTTATTTTGCTGCTGACTATGGGTATATTTTGCTGCTAACTTAGAAGTTGTCTAGGCTTATTATGCACCCACATGTTTCATCTTAATGTGAGCTACATGAATTGTTCTGAATAGTATCTAAGATTCGATCCACTTTAAAATTATCAAGATTCAGTGCATAATTCATAGTCATTCTACTTATTGCTTATACTGCTACTCCCTTGTTGGGGTGTTGTACTGTTTGCTTTCTGGTGGTTTAGTATTCGATGAGAGTTGCAAACAATCAGATGTGGAATTTCAGGTATCTTAGACATTTTAGCCCAAAATGCTTTCAGGAAAGTATCTCAAAATCGAAGGAATCCCTCTAGATATTGATCTTTCGGTTAAACTAAGACGGTGTTCTCACAGAACTTGTCAAGATTCACCAAATTATCCGGTCTAGAAAACATGAAATGTCCAACAAACGTCAAAGTATACTGTACCACTTCCTTAGGACACATTCATTGTACGAAAGTTTAATAAATTAACCCGATCTGATGCGAACTTCCTGCAACAAAGAGAAATAGGCTGAATGCTAGGTAATATTTTCCAACAATTTCATTGTACGAAAGTTTAATCAATTAACCCGAACTGATACGAACTTCCCGCAACAAGGAGAATATGCTGAAAGTTAGATAATATTCTCCAACAAATTTCGGTCCATAAGCTTTTTCAAAGCATGTGTTAGTTCTGAAACTCAAGACAGACAAGAGGGGAATCGAAATTGATGGTTATTTCGGTGATACGCGAGTAGGTTGTCACTTAGGATGATGTCAGCGGGAACCTTATTATGCAATAGTGAACTAACCAGGACTAGAAGGAAAAAACCACCCCTCAGCATGCAATACTCGACTCCTCAGCGTTGATCGACTGCGGATCAACTTGTGGTATGTGTGTGCGTGAATAATTTCTTGGTTTTGACTTTAAGGTTTGGAAAGTATGGGGAGAGAAAGCAGAACCTTATTTCGGGGTTACACTTTGGATGATCAGCAAAAATAGACTAGCGTTCAGAGGGGTAAGACCTAAAACAAACTCAAAAGAAGTATACGAGAGTAGTTTTTCCACTCCACAACGGAGTAAACATATCCCTCATAATTAGGTATAGCAGAGAGGAGGAAGACAGACTGTACGGCTCCACAAAACGGTTGACGCAAAAACTGGGGAAACTTTCGAGCTATGGAACAACTGTAACTGTGCAATTGAAACAAAGGAAGTGCCAAGCTTTCTGTCCTTCCAACCTAAACACACCGCAAGGATTATTAACAAGAAAAGACGCACTGGCTCATTTAATGAACCAGGAAAATCTTTCTTGCAGAAAATAATAATATTTTTTTAGGAACCCCCCCAATAAGAGAATTTCCGGAAAGTGCTACCTTACATTTTTCCAAAGTAAGGCAAGAAAATATTTTTCATCTAAGATGGGCCAATTTCAAAGTTGGGGGTGACATGGCGTTAACATGATGGAAGTAATCTGGATGAGGTTGTAGGAGATTGGGTCAAAATAATTTGACTACTGAACATTCATCCACAGAATTTAAAGAGGTGTATCGAGAGGTGCGGCTTTACCCCAATTTCGCCTTCTTTTGCTTTTCAAATGTGTGAAAAAAAATAGCTACAGCTTGCAATTTTCCGTCGTGGAGCTGTGGACTAACGGAAAAAGTTTAATGCAGCTCGCGAATTACCACTCCTCAATGAGCAATTTGACACTGCCTTTGAAATTCGTCAGCTGCCGTAACACATTGATGGGTGTTCAAAAATAATACCGTATTTTTTGGTCTAGATTGAAATCTATTGGCTAAATTGAAACAATAGATCTCTCATAGATTTTATTTGTATTTTTATTATTTTTGTTTTTTGGTGTCGGCATTGTTCTCGTAAACACATTTTTGTGGGGCGCATCGTCATGTATGCATATTTAAACAATTTTTCCATCGATTTGTTGCCAGCTGAGACGAGGAGCGGTATAAACACGACCTTTACGCATAAAGCCGTGCACACTTGCATCGATTCGAGTCGAAAATAAAATTTACCCCGAGATAGAATGTGGGGTAAATGTATAGTCATTGCTGTTTTACGCGTTGGCATGCTTCAGTCGACCTTTTCTTGGACAAAAATCTAAACGTGGAGAATACATTCACGCTCAAAGTTTGACTGCTGATACTGAGTTCAGTTTAACTCAAAATATTTGAAAAAGGTGGTTATTGGGGCTTGTTTTCCTATATGCTTTTCCTCTTGTGTTAAAGAAAAGGAATGTATGTTGGGGTGAAAGTTGAAGATCAAGTTAAACTTTGAACCGAATTTTACAATAGCTGACTTAGCCGTTCGATGACACTAAGCCTTTGAGAATGTTCTCCTAGAAAACTTTAAGGTCATTTCAGAATGGAAGAAATGTTGGCTCAGTCATGCATGAATTCCAAATTTCATGCATGAAGAGGTGCTGGAAAAATTTTAAAATTACGGAGAAATAATTTTTACAGAATGCTCACTTAGGAAAATAGTTCTTCCAGACCAAGAAATTTACTTCGGCTTCTTAACTTTTTGACATATAATCATTTTTGTTTAACATAAGCTAAACAACAATCTGAAGAATACATAAGAAGTCTATCAGACGAGAGAGACGCTTCATATAATCGAATTATTCTGGTTGTTTGGAATCCATTTTGATAATTTACCCATTGGTGTAAAAAAATCTATATGCACTTCTGCATATCACACTTACCTAAATTTGGAGAGTTCCCCAGATGGCTGCCTTACCACGTAAAAAATAATTGACAAAACCTGAGGCACTGGGAATTAATACGGGCAAAACATGAAAGCCTGGACAGGTTGAATTGCATTCCCTGGAATATAAATACATGAGTTTCGCCTATTCCTGTTTTCATTTTTCGTTTTTAATTAAATCTATTCCACCTTTTATAAACTCACATATATATTAGTCAAAATGGGATTAGAAAATAGCGGTCTTGTTAGAAAGTTCGTCAACGTTGGTGAGAAGAGGGCAGGCTCAACCTCAATGGGGATCTTTGTTGGTTTGTTTGCTGCCTTTGGTGGTGTTCTTTACGGGTATGATACTGGTACCATTTCTGGTATCATGGCTATGCCTTACGTGCTTGCTCGTTTCCCAAAGAACGTGGAAGACGGCTTCTCTTCATCTGAATCATCTCTTATTGTTTCTATTTTATCCGTTGGTACATTTTTTGGTGCTTTATTGGCTCCATTCATTTCTGATAATCTTGGACGTCGTTGGACTATAATTATTTCTGCCTTGATTGTCTTCAACCTTGGTGTTATTTTACAGACTGCTGCTACTGCCATTCCATTATTCTGTGCTGGAAGAGCCATTGCTGGTTTAGGTGTTGGTTTAATTTCTGCTTCCATCCCATTATACCAATCTGAATCTACTCCTAAGTGGATCAGAGGTGCTGTTGTTTCATGTTATCAATTTGCTATCACCATCGGTATCTTATTAGCTGCATGTGTCAACGAAGGAACTAAGGACAGAAATGACAGTGGATCTTACAGAATTCCAATTGCTGTCCAATTTCTTTGGTCTCTTATTCTTGGTGGTGGTTTATTCTTCTTACCAGAAACCCCAAGATTCTGGGTCTCCAAGGGTGAAGAAGCAAAGGCTAAAGATTCCTTATCAAGATTGAGAAGAATCCCAGCAGACCACCCTGATTTGGTTGAAGAATACGATGATATTAAGGCTTCATTTGACTTCGAAATGGCTCACGGTACATCTACTTGGTGGGATTGTTTCTCTACCAGAAACAAGCAAAGAAAGAGACTTATCACTGGTATTTGGTTACAAGCTTTTCAACAATTAACTGGTATTAATTTCATTTTCTACTATGGTACTCCATTCTTCACATCTGCTGGTATCAAGAACCCATTCATCATTTCTATTGCTACCAACATTGTCAATGTTTTTATGACTCTTCCTGGTGTTGTTTTAATTGAGACTCTTGGTAGAAGAAAGTTGTTAATTGGTGGTGCTGTTGTTATGTGTGTTTCTGAATTCATCATTGCTATCGTTGGTACTGCTGTTCCTGATACCAATACTTCAGGTAACAAGGTCTTGGTTGCATTTACCTGTACATTTATTGCTGCCTTTGCTGCTTCTTGGGGTCCAGCTTGTTGGGCCGTCGTCGGTGAGATTTTCCCATTGAGAACAAGAGCCAAGTCTGTCGCTATGTCCACTTCTTCCAACTGGCTTTGGAACTGGGCCATTGCATACGCAACACCTTACTTGGTTAACACTGGACCAGGAAACGCTGGTTTACAAAAGAAGGTCTTCTTTGTCTGGGGTGGTTGTAACTTCCTCTGTATCCTTTTCGCTTGGGCTTTCGTTTACGAAACTAAGGGTTACACTTTGGAACAAGTCGATGAAATGTATGAAAGTGTTGACCAAGCTTGGCAATCTCCAAGTTGGGTCCCATCTGAACATGCTTTCAGAACTGGTGACTTTTCTACTGCAGACACCAAAGAAAAGGTTGTCTCAGAAGTTGAAGATGCTTCTGTTTAATCACAATTCCTATGTATACATATTATAACGTATAATGAATATTTGCTAATTAATTCTTAATAATTTGTAGTCCCAGACGGTTGCTCCCTTTGAATTTGAGCCTACCACTGCAAGTCAGCCTCACCGCGGCTTTGAGAAGATTTTCCGGGACAATTTTTACCCCGCGTATTGTTGCATTGTGACAAGAACCAAGAAAAATGGAAGCTTTGATCGTAGTTTAAGCAAGTTATCTTTGTTGGGACTGTGGAAAAATCAAAGTATTTTAGATTAATCCGCCCAGACTTTATAAACAGAGAAAGGAGTAAATTAGGTATTACTTAATGTGAAAAATGACAAGAAAAAGCGGGCAAGTTGGCGTTCGATAGTAAAAGATCCGATTGGTATAGGAGCCGCATGTTATTGTGTTCCTCGCCAAGTGAAGAAGCATACAAGAAAAAACCACGACAATATACTAGTCTTGGAGATCTGGGAGTGACTTCATTAGTACAAGGTATAGCCTCAATAGCAAGGTCCGATTATTTAATCGATAATTTGCAATAATGAGAATTCCTTCAACGTTCACTGAGAACAGTGCGTTTTCATCGGATTAATTTGACTTTGCAGGAGATACGTCTTTCTAAAATTAAATCACACATGATACCATACATGAATTTCATTTCAAATAAATAATATTCAGAAGTTAGAATCGCGGATCATACCAATTTGACAATTAGCTTCAGAATTAACCTTTGGTCAGTAGTCACTGAAATTAAGTTCTATGCACTGAAATTTCTTAGCATTTATGCGCAAGTGCGTATGTATTTAGAAAAGTTTAAGCTGCACCCCGCCAAATGTGTTGCAGCACCCCACATATTCCGAAAATAGCAGTGTAACACAATATACTAACGTCCAAAACTGCAACGAAGTTGCATTAGGGTAGAGAATTCAATTAAACTATGTAAACTCGAGTGCCGTGGGGAAGTACCATGTAGCTTCTGGAGAAATTTTGGGGGTATATATAAGGCTACATTCCAATATTTTAAAATTAGTACCTGCGTTATATTCTGCTTCTATATATATATTTCTAAACATTTATACTGAGACACTTTAAGCTGAAGGTAAAGAAAAAATGGGATTAGAAAATAGCGCTCTAGTTAGAAAATACGTTAATGTCGGAGAGAAGAGGGCAGGCTCAACCTCAATGGGGATTTTTGTGGGTTTGTTTGCTGCCTTTGGTGGTATCCTTTTTGGTTACGATACTGGTACCATTTCTGGTATCATGGCTATGCCTTACGTGCTTGCTCGTTTCCCAAAGAACATAGATGACGGCTTCTCTTCATCTGAATCATCTCTTATTGTTTCTATTTTATCCGTTGGTACATTTTTTGGTGCTTTATTGGCTCCATTCTTGTCTGATACTCTCGGACGTCGTTGGACCCTCATCATTTCTTCTTTAATTGTCTTCAACCTTGGGATTATTTTACAGACAGCAGCTGATGCAATTCCAATGTTATGTGCTGGAAGAGCCATTGCTGGATTTGGTGTTGGTTTGATTTCTGCTTCCATCCCATTATACCAATCTGAATGTGCTCCTAAGTGGATCAGAGGTGCTATTGTTTCATGTTATCAATTTGCTATCACCATCGGTATCTTATTAGCTGCATGTGTCAACGAAGGAACTAAGGACAGAAATGACAGTGGATCTTACAGAATTCCAATTGCTGTCCAATTTCTTTGGGCTCTTATTCTTGGTGGTGGTTTATTCTTCTTACCAGAAACCCCAAGATTCTGGGTTTCCAAAGGTCAAGAAGCAAAGGCTAGGGATTCTTTATCAAGATTGAGAAGAATCCCAGCAGACCACCCTGATTTAATTGAAGAATATGATGATATTAAGGCTTCATTTGACTTCGAAATGGCACATGGTACCACCTCTTGGCTCGATTGTTTCTCCAAGAGAAATAGACAAGTATATAGACTCTTCACCGGTATTTGGTTGCAAGCCTTCCAACAATTAACTGGTATTAATTTCATTTTCTACTATGGTACTCCTTTTTTTCAGTCTGCAGGTATTAAGAATCCATTTACCATTTCCATTGCTACCAACATTGTCAACGTTTTCATGACTCTTCCTGGTGTCGTCTTAATTGAAACTGCTGGTAGAAGAAAGGTGTTAATATACGGAGCAGTATGCATGTGTGTTTCTGAATTATTAATTGCTATTGTCGGAGTGGCCGTACTGGAGGAAAATAAATCAGCTAACAAAGTGTTAGTTGCATTTACCTGTACGTTTATTGCTGCGTTTGCATCTACATGGGGACCTTGTTGTTGGGCCGTCGTTGGTGAAATTTTCCCATTAAGAACAAGAGCCAAGTCTGTCGCTATGTCTACTGCTTCCAACTGGCTTTGGAACTGGGCCATTGCATACGCAACACCTTACTTGGTTAACACTGGACCAGGAAACGCTGGTTTACAAAGAAAGGTTTTCTTTATCTGGGGTGGATGTAACTTCCTCTGTATCCTTTTCGCTTGGGCATTCGTCATGGAAACTAAGGGATTAACTTTAGAACAAGTCGATGAATTATATGAAACGGTTGCCTCTCCTTGGAAATCTAGTACATTTGTTCCATCTGCACACGCTTTCCAGGACGAAGGCGTTTTGCATGAAGATGCTTACATTAAAGATACCAATGATAAAGCTGAAGTTGAAACTTCGTCTGTTTAGTAGTAATTTCTTGTACACGAAGCTTTTAGTTTATGACATTATGTATCAATTTACAACTTTACTTTTGTTTACTTTTTTCCCCACTATATAACTTTAAGTGAGTAGCAGGGAGTAGCTCAATAAAGATTAACATAGCTTTCTAAGCATCAATTGGCCAATAAAGGCGTAAAGGTGTGATGCACTCACCCCATCAGGCAAAAAAGCGATCTAACAAGATCTCGACAATCTCGAGAATGGCTGCAAATTTACGTTTTTCCGTACCGGCGCGCATTTAAAATAAGCCACTACATGAGCCGTGCAGTTGGCCACATCAGACGCATCTTTATAGGTGTGTCAGTAAACTACATGCATCGTTACAGGGGTGTCAATTAAGCTAAACGCAAGATCTACTAAAGACTTATATTACTTATATTCTATTTTTGTTTTGAAAGTCAAAAACCTGCTGAACGGTATCAATTACGATATCTTCTAAAGTGTGGAAATCAAAGTTCAAAATTTCTTTAGTCTTAATATTAGAAACCTTTGCCAAGGTAGATATATCCTTTGGACCAGATCCTGGAGTTCCTAGAGGAATTTTTCCTTTCAATTCCTTCTCAAAGTGGCTATTTAATATGTCAACCATCATCTGGGTACTGAATTTCCCGTTGGTCAAAGAGAGCCTCTTATTTTTAGCCTCTTCCAATTCAAAGGCCAACACGTGAGCTTTCGCAACATCTCTAACGTCAATGAAACCTCCCTTATCGTTATCAAAAGCACCAGTAGGCCCAATTTTCAATAAGTTATTAATGAGTTCGTTAGAAGTGTTCAAAACAGGCTTGACTTCATTGGCAAAGGCCTGTGGACCAAAAACGTAGACTGGGTTAACAGCTGTAAGAACAAACTTTGTATCCTCTTGTCTCGCAATCTCCCACGCTTTTTTCTCAGCGTAGGACTTGGCTCCATAGTAAGCAGAAATGGGGTCCTTTGTAGCTTCCTCCCAGCCAATGTTGTTCCAGGATGATTCATCGAACAGAAGGGTTCCATCCTGTTCGTCATCTGCAGAGTAAAATGCAGCATCTGATGAGGTAATAACAAATCTGTTCACTTGGGGTGCATATTTCTTAACCGCCAGTAAGATGTGCGTAGTTCCTTCAAGCGCTGGAACCATCAAGTCTTTCTCCGGGTCTGTAGTGTCGTAGAAGAATGGGGAAGCAGTGTGTAATACTACGGTAACCTCTGGGTGCTTTTCCAAAGCAGAATCGAACGCACCCGCAGTACTAATATCCGGAACCACTTCGTATTGAAATCTGGACCCTAAATTTGCTTTTAATTTTTCACCTTTGTCACTAGATCTAACGGTTCCGACAACACTATAGCCCTTTTCGTGGAGCAACTTAACAATGTGCTGTGCAATGAATCCACTTGCACCAGTTACAAATACAGATACCATAATTGAAGATTTCTACAATACAACTACAATTAACAATACTTTGTTAGGAAAGAACAAATTTTCAAATTCCCTTCGTTGGTTCTTTATATGCGTCTTTGAATGTTCGGAGATCTCGCAAACAACAACCCGATTTGGAAAAAAAATGAGCCCTCATGATGTACACAGAGGTTTTCAAGTGCAACACCAATGGCTCTGATAGCGAAGAGTGGGTGCTTTGAGAGAATCTATTCTATGATCTACGGAAAGTATTTAAATAAAACATACTAATTATACGCTCTACGCAACATTTTGAAATAAAATGTACATTGATTATTCTAAAAACAAAAAAAAATTCACTAAAAAAATGGCGTAACTGAAGTACCAGGAACATTGGGTGCAAAAGGTGCATGATGTGCTAGTTCAGAAAGAAATCATCAAAAGATTGACCGTTGAAAATACCTAAATCATAGTCAGAGTATTCTACTGGGAAATCAAACTGTGGGGTAAAGGGAAGTGCATACGATGGAGATCCCTTGGGCTTATCCAAACTATTTTCGAAGTCCCTGTCCAAAGATATGGAGTCACTTAAAGTAGCAACAGATTCAGTAGCACTGCTATCGTTTCTCGTAATTTCCCCACGTTCGTAATTATTCTGCGTTGTGTCGGCACCTTGAGCTTCTTCAATATCATCAAGAGGAGCTTCTTCATCATCATTCCCCTTTGATGCAACATATTGCCAAAAAGAGTCAACCCTGGCGTCAATGTCTTTGTTAGGAAGCTCAGCGTTATTGCTAGTATTAGCATTCCTTGCAGCAAAATTCACATATTCTAACGTGGTTTGACAGACTTTAGCCATTTCACTCATTTCATGTAATTCAAACGAGGCTGCAGCATGTCTAGTAACATCTAAATCATACTGGAAAAAGTTATCCTTTTCAAATAATTGAAAACAGAGGGTATGGATCTTACGAGTTTTCCAGGCATGGAAATATCTGACACCCAATGTATCCATAACTTTCAAGTTGACTTTTCTCAAAGAAATCACCACTTCCATAAAATTATGCAAGCCATCGAAGTAGCTTCTATAACTCAAGTCGGATTTTAGGGAATCTTCGTGACTCGGATTGTTCTTCAAAATCTTTATTGTACTCAACAATTTTGCAACAGTTATCAGGTTAATAAAAGATGCTGAATGGTTGAAGTCTTGAATGGTAGGCAGAATGAAGAATGAAGAAGCTGAATGGTGGTAATCTCTGGACTCATCTAACACATCTGGTAGGTATGGCAATACTTTAACAAGGGCATAGACCAAGAGTTTTTTGTAGTAAAAATATGTCAAATTGCTGAATCCATTGTTAACAGTAGCCCCCGAGCTTCTTTCCCTGCTATCTTTTTTGAGATAGTACAAATATAAAAGGTAGTAGATAGATATCATTAATTGGTTACCTATTATAAGGAATTTCAATCTTAGGATTTTCAAAAACCTTGAAGAATTGAAACTTGGGTTTAAATATTCCTCCAATTTTCCACATTCTGAATTAAGCAATATTTCGAACCTAGAAACAATTTTTGTGAACTCCAGCATCGCAATGTTCACTCTCTGATTGAATAACACTTGAACCAAATCGATCATCAGCTGACGTAAAGTTTCAAAAGTCTGAAAACTCGAAACGACTTCCATTTCTATATTAATATCAAACACATTGGCATTACCATCGACAGAGAATGGCAATTTTGTATCATACTCACAATGCTGTAAGGTAACAGAAGTACCCTGAGTTATACTGTCCACTACGTCTTGAGCAACCAAAAAGTGCCATAATTTTCTACGTAGATTATCCATCCTAGGGTCAACTTCTGGAGTATGACGGCCATGCATACCTTCACTACTGTTGTAGAAGTCAGGATCTCTATTGAGCCCCAAAGAAAATGCAAGACTATTAATCAAGCCTTTAAATAAAGAAGAACTTTGACAGGGTATTTTGTAGCCATCCTCAGGACAGTAACTTCTGTATGACTTCAACATTAGCATATATTGAAAGGTAATCAAATTAGCTTTCCTTGTAAAATCAAACTCTCTCAAACACAATTCTGCTACTTCAATAGTGTCAACACTGATTGGATTGGTTAGTAAAAACTTTGTATTCACGTCTGCCTGTGTCATGTTATTACCATATTGGACTGCACTTTCATTTACTCTTTGATTATTTTTGAATAGAGAAATATAGCTTAGTCTCAACATTATTAGAGTCATACATATGAAAATGTAATCACTCTTTTTAGTTAGGTTCAAATTAGTTATACTGTCATTTGCTCCTTCAACCAATTCCAGTGTTTGTCCAATTATCCTCTTCAACTCTGGCCTGAAAGAATATTCGTCAACAATAGGCAAAAACTGATACAAGACTGAGAAGTATCTATCAATCAACGCATGTAATATTCTTCTACTTGGCATAACCGCAAGAATTTTCTCCTTGAAGCCCTTTAAATCCATGATTTTCCTGTCGTCGAAGACCACTCCAATGGACATACCAAACTTCTTAATATTCTGGTGTTCCTTCATTGTTTCAACAACGACATCTCTATTGACGCCAAAAAACTTCTGCATATACTCCTTGCTATACTTATCCTTCTTTACTTTTGAAAGAAAGTCATCGCTTTTCAGTAAAGTTGATTGCAAATGAGTTATAGCAGGGCCCAGAACTTTAGAAGAACAGCATTGAGGTGTAGCGAGCAGCTGTCCCTTAGCATCTTTACATTTTGCTGCTGCTGCTGCTTGGGGCACCACACCTGCTTCCTTCATCAACTGCTTCTTAAACTTCAAGAAAAGCTCAATGGCCGGGTCTGCCCTAGTAGCTGCCATTAATGGTAAAGGCTTATAGTTGTAGCCATTCTTATTTGCACCGTTAATAGAGAAATCTAGAAAGAAATTGATGGTCTCGTCGGATAGGTATGGGTTGATAGCCATAGATGTGGAATCATCGACCCTGGAATGACGCTCATACAGAGAATGGTTCAACGATTGCTTCGACTGGCGGTGCAAATTGGCTACATTTGGCGTGGAGCTTGCCGATGACTGGATCGGAGAGTTCGAATTTATGCCTACAGACGCTGACGAATGGATCGAAGGCGACACTGCCGACGAGAATGACGTTGCAAGTGGCACTGGGGCACCACTGGTGCCTGATACCGAGCTGGGTGCGGACAGCTTGTGCAAAGTAGCGACGGTTATCGAGGCCTCGAGTTCCTTTAGTTTGTTTTTGAGATTCTCCAACTCGTTATGGACGGTAGGATCACTGCCGTACCCATGGCCAGGCTGTTGGTGATCGTGCAGCACCGGCTGCGATAACGGTGGTATTATATGTGTGTGGTACGCTCCCTGGCTGACGTACGCGGGCGCTGCCAGAAATTGAGCATGTCCTGCACCAGCTCCTAATGGAAGGGCTATCCCAGGAAGAGGTACCTGGGGATGAGCAGGTTGCTGACTATGATGGTAATGTGGAGGTGAGGGTATCAAGGGGTTCCTCAACGTGTCGCCGGGCCCTTCAGAGACTCTTTTGCTAGGGTTAGAACCATTATAATTACACGAGCCGGCGAGATCCAATTTTTCACAATTAGAGCATGGCAATTTCCGATCACACTTTGTTTTCTTCACTCTACAGTTGTTACACACAACAGTGGGACGGTTTCTCTTTCTGATTGGTTTGTCTGTGGTATTCTGCGACATGCTAGGGCGAGATCAAGGTCTTTTGAGAGGGAACACAAGGTAAAGTAGTACCGAACAGTGGCCTTCAAGTCAACTGGAAAGAAAACTTTGCACCAAAGCAAAGAAAGGCATGGAAATAAAAACGAAGAATCGCAAAACTCGAGGGCAAGAGAAGGCGGAGAGAAAAGGAGATAACGGACATAAGGAGATAGCGGACATAGCGTTGGAAGTTTGGAACATTTGAGAAGTTCCGGTCTCTATATAATGACTAAGAATTAGCCCCTTAGGCTTGGGGGCTCTTCGATCAGGTAAGGCTGTGTTCTTGCTTAAGAGTGAGTATTGCGGAGTGGCCTCGTAAGCGGCGAGGCTGAATGGTGCTTGTTTTTCCATGGGGTACTACTAGACTTACTGTGCGGTTATACTGTGCTCTGTAATCAAGGGGACGCTTACATTTTCATTTTTTCCTTTTTTTTTTATTTCTTTTTTATTTAGCTGAACATGGGAACCCTTAGACCGTGTGGTAGAGGCAGTATTGTCAGCTTAGTGTTTCTGCGGTGGCATGTAGGGACCCAACATGACGCCTATCCACCCGCTCTCTTTTTCAGTAGCTACTGTCTACTCTGCTCCTCTTCCACTCACTTCTACTCGTAAACATACGTCAGGTGATGGGCGGGCCACAACTCACAAAGTTTCCCCGACTCTGCTGAAAACTACTGAACTCTAAATTTCTGAAGCCTGCTTACCGTTTTTTTTTTTTTTTGGCTCTCATTCAAACATCGAGGCGACCTGGCCGTGCAGCTGCAGTCCACATGGTTCTCTGCTGCTTGCATGTTGTTGTTTTTCAAAACATCTTGATAGCACTACCTCTCGAAGAATTCATCATTCACCTGCTACCTGTAGTACCCTGTGCGGCGCCTTTTCTATTGCATAAAAAAGGCTGCAAATGATGTATCGAACGTACCTAAGATTTTTGACATAGCCGTGTACTAAAGGTGCATCGTATTGAGTTCGTTTACTCTACAAAGTTATATAAAGATGCATTGTATATTAAGTTCCCTATCTATAAGATATAGGTTAATGATGTAGTGTGAAGATGAGTTAAAACAAATAATAATAATAATAATAATAATATAAAGAAAAAAGATTTAAAAGTTAAAAATACATTTATGAATGCCCCTGATATGTCTATAAGTGTGGTTGGGGTCGAAAGTTATCATTTTTTAACTTCGACTCTCCAGCCACAGTCTAAACAGCTGAATCCTTCATTACCATCTTCAAATGTAGATTTACCCTTGCTCTGCATGAGTGACCACTCACCCTTAGCTGGGATTTTCTTGCATTCTTTGTTAAGGCATCTGGCAGCGGTCTTCTTGTATCTGAGTCCGCATGAGTTACATAACTGTCCTTCCTTTATGGACCAAGATGGTCTCCAACAAGGAGATTGATCCGATCCACATGAAATACATACTCTTGTGTTTTGTTGTTGAGACGATTTAGGTGGAGATTTTAATAATTCGGAACGGGATTTTGACTTGGAAGATGGGGGAGTGAGAGGGACTGATTTTTGCTGTTTTTGTGGAGTTGATGGAACGTCGTAGGTACTCATAAATGTACTGAATCCAGTTTGAGCTGGATGGTGGTGATGATGTTGAGGATGGTACTGGTGATGATGAAGATGTGGATGTGGTAATGCAGACATTATTGGAGAAACAATGGTTTGATGGGGTGTGCTAATAGAAGGTGGTGATGGGATAATTGCTGGGATAGAAGCCATCAAAGGGATAGAGCTCTGATGAAGAGGCTGGTGGAATTGTTGTGGTTGGTGTTGGTGTGTTGGCTGTTGCTGTTTATAGTAAGGTTGAGGTTCTGCCACAGCTGATTGAGGAGGCGAGTAAGCGTACAGATTTTGATCCAGTTGCGACAACAGGATCAATGATTGTGCCAACTCTAGGTACTCAGGGTACTTTTCCACATCCGTCATGTAGGTCTTGTTAAGGTAAGTATAGTTGGATTCATACGGGAACTTGATCTTTTTCTCCGAATAGGATTTACGAATAGACTTCGAGTTGTAAGGACGGTACTTTGTAGAAGCAGCGGTCGATCTTTCACTGATTGGGTGCAAAATCTTGGAGCTTATTTTGGAATTGAAGCTTGGCTTGCCTACCTTGTAAGGAGAAGTGGAAGGTGGTGAAACGGGGCCTGATGCAGCAGACTTTAATGAATCCAATTGAGTACCAGCTCTATTGAGATAATTGTACCTGTTGAGGTTGAACAGCTTGGAAGATTTAGTAATGGAATCTAACAATTCATAGCGCCAATTTTCATCATTAGGCTTGTATGTGTCGAAGTAGTCCAAGGACACGGTTGGAGCGATGGGGTTCAACTTGACGCTGGTCATGGGAGTGGATTGCAATGCAGTAGAGAGCGATGGGAGCTGTACTGACTTGACATTAACTACAGCAGCAGGAGTAGCAGCATTAGTAGCGGGAGACACAGCGGTCTCTTCTTGTGTGATTTTGGGCTGCTGTGAAGCTGCTAACCCAGGCTTTGCAGCCACGGTCTCATTCTTCACCAAAACTGGAGAGGTTGCTGGAGAATCCGAAGGTGAAATAGGGTTGCTCACGAGAAAGCTGGTCTTCTTATTTGGTGACAATGATCTGGACCGTATAACCCTATGGTTCTTCAAGTTAAGAGTGGTTGGGCGCAACAGGGCCTTTTCGTACACGGGGAATTCGTAAGGTGGAGAAGGGGGAGCGGTTCTTGATCTTTTAGTAGTCTCAATACCGACCGATCCCATGGATGGTGTATCTTTCATAAGATCACTGTACGAGCGTTTTTTCACGTACGAGCTTCTGGAAGTTGTGTTTGGAGTGGTCGGCGAACTCACTAACTTCGCAGTAGGAGACGACGAGGAAATCGCGGTCTTGAACTGCGACAACAACTCGTTGTACGAACGAGATCTAGCGTGCCCCGGCTTGAAGTGATCACCGTTGTAGACATGTGTGTGAAGCATACTCATGGTTGGTTTGGTTTGGTTTATCTTGTATGTCTCGAAAATATGCAGCAGGTTTTGGGTGCAAAAAAAAGTCTATGTATGTCCTTGACAAAAATTAGCTGTATGTCTTTGGTTGTCTGATCAACGAGTGACAAAACAAAAAAAAAAATCGAATTTTCCAGGGGATCGTAGATCTGCTGTGAAAACCGCAAATGACACAAAAGCGAAATAGTACTAGGGTCCCTCGTATTGCGTATGCTGGAAGGGATAAATGGGTGCGGGTGTGAGGCGGGCCGGATCGTCTTTATTTTTCCTGTTCTAGCAGTGTGTGGGTGTCAACTAACGAACGTTCCTTAGGACGAATTGTATTCCTATTCAAGTAGCGGAGGTGAGTGAGGATTCCTGTGTGTGTTTCAAGAATTGGCGTGTGTTAGGTATTGTAGGGGCGAAATCTTCTTTAGCTTTAAGTTTTTATCCTTGTAGGCTACTCTGGACGTATTCTGGTGAGCGAGTGAGTGAGTGAAAAATTAATTAGACTTCTATTTATATACCGGGGATATCTTGAGGATAGAGTGGTGCTTTTCTTCCTCTTTCTCTCTCTACTAATGTCGTTTCCTGATACGTCTAAAAAGTTGTGTATACGTGAACTCTCCAATATTTTCAATTCTTTTCAAGAGAATCATTTATGCTTTTGATCTGATCAGGGGTCAGCTCGTTATATACCACTTTCAAACATGATTCCCCGATCCAGCACCAAAAATCGGTGGGATTCCTGATCCAGCAAATGCTCCGCCAAATTAGGTACACCAGCCATTTGGGGCGTGCAGGCACCACATATGGAAGCATTTTGTTGCATTAAAATGCGGGTGTCCGGGTGTCTGATGCGAATCATAAACATTTTGATGTTGTTCCACTGTAATCAAACAATACGCTGGCTAATCGTCCTAAAATATGCACAAACCCTTAACGATTCCTAGTTTAGTGGTGCTGGATCAATGACAAGAGGCAGAAATAAAAATAGAAAGTTATTTTTACAGCAAGCATCAGTAGAGAATTATTTTTAACCTTCTTTCATCACAAAAGCAGGGGCAGATGTTGTACGACTTCTCATTTTCATTTAGAGACTTTTTCAGAGTTTCAACTTTAAGTTTTAGACGGTTGATTTGCCAAATTAAGTCAGGTCCAGCTTTCTCTATTGGGAAGCGTGGTTTGCGACACATTCTGAATTTGGTTACATTCGTTACTAAACCAGGAACTTGGTAGGACATGAACAATCGGTGATGTGTGTTTATGGTTCCTTTGTACACTGTATACAGGAACAACGCTATTCACAAGAAGAATAGACTACATAGACTACATAGAAAACTCTACAAAGGAACAATGTTCCCAGCTGTACTCGTTATTGATCGTATATCTTATTTCTAATTTCACTAATACATATTGGGACAGCAGTATAATGGCTACTGTTATTAGTTTCCCTCCTTTTGTTCAACGTGTTGTTCAGCGTCGTTGGCTAACATACTTCCTGCTACGGAACTTGCAATGTGGCCCGCTCCACCAAGATGGAGTTTATCGGCTACTTTGCTCCCACCTACGGAACCTGCAACTGAGACAGCTATGTTCTTGGCCATTTCGCCTGCGTCACCTGGCATTGTTTCTATTATTTCTATTTATTGAATGTGTGTAGTATTTCTTAGTGTAAACAGAAATAAGTACTCAATGGCTTACGTATGGCTTAGTTCAAGTGACAGGATTTTACTCGCTTTTATAGCTTCGTAATCAGAATAGGAGTGAGGCTGTGAGAAGATTGCTTCGTAGAATTTCATGTCTAGTAGTACATCACGGCTGATTTAGACTTTTCTGTACAGGCATTTTACGTAAGGAGACGTAGTAGTGATATTTTTTGAGTGAATGTTGCTCCCAACCCCAACTTGTCAGCCTGCAAGTGAATGTCATTGCACAGTTCTTTGACAGATCCGAGGCTCATGCTACAAGAGATAACTACATGAGAGTTTTGTAAAATTTATCTGTTCATTCACTAAATCTTTCCTCTATTTACCTTCCTCTTTCTTAGCATTACGGTGACTAGAAGCCTTTTGCTGCAATCTCTGAGCTCCCATACTCCCAGCAACCGAGGAAGCAATGTCACCTGCACCTCCTAGTCCGAGTGCGCTACCAACTTGTGCACCACCTACACCACCAGCAACGCTTGCTACAAACCCTCCAATGTGATGGTGCTTGTGCTCTTTCTCTTTATGTTCGTTTTCTTCACCCATACTTAAGTACTTAATTTACCAGATATTGCCCAACTCAAAAACGAAAAGGACAGAGATACTTCCCTCTTTAAATGGGAAAGGCTGCAACACTATGGTTGCTATGACGTGAAATTCCATGCATGGCGCACGTGACCATCCTGCATGGAGCCCAATATGAAAAATTAAAACCTGCCTAAAGAACGAGCCAGAAGAGCCCAAGGAAGGCACTAGAGCTCAGCCCTTTAAACCTAAAATCTAGGAATGTCGCTCCAACAGCAACAGATCTTGCAAGATCCATGTAAGTAGAACAACTTTGTCACCCAAGTTGAAGGCGATTTCGGTCATTTTTCGTCGATTTTTTTCCCCACTAACATTTCCCACTAGCACAACCCATTGAGCCTTTCTTGAAGAAGGTGCTACTTTCATTGGATAACCAGTACAGTCCACAGAAATATGCCAATGTTGAGACGTACGCCACACAGTTTGCCAAACAATTGAAGCCTCTGGCTGCTGTGATCGTAAACGGGAAGCCAATCGTCCCTGAACAGCCGTCTATGCCCGATGTCAAGCTAGAGTTCCAAAAGAAGTGGCTCGTGACGCCTCAAACAAACCACCAGTTGACCAGCTTCGACTGCCATTTAATCCCAGGCACCGGTACTTTCATAGTGAACGCCAGTGGAAAGGTGAGATTTGATGAGAGTGGTAAGAATAGGTTGGGAGAAAACGCCAATTTGGTCCAATCCACCACCGCTCCGGCTCTGTCTAATGCCAACAGAAACATCTGGGGGTCTTGGTTTGGCTACGACTTGACCCTTGTGGTGGATGAAAACGTGAGGAATAACGATGAGATGGAGTTGATAAATAGCTTCAACTACAGGTTTACATTCAAGCCAAGAGACAGCGTTATCCAGATATAAATGAAGTTCATACATTGAATATGTGAATTGATATATAATGAGCCATCGTTTTTACTATTGGCTTTTTGTTTGAAACCTTTTTCTTCTTTGTTACGGGGAACCAAACTTGTGATGGACATGGATACGTCGATGCAGTTTTATAGATCTTGCTGTATCACCGTCTCCCATTCTATGGACCAGCTCAACCTGTTGTCAGCATCCTGACTACGCACCATATGATTGTATATAATTATTTAATAGCTTACCCAAGTATTGATCCGAATAAAATTCTACTTCTTTGGTAACATCTTTTGTAAAGTCCAACTCCTTTAATGCCCAGATAATATTGGACGTGATGAAATTGTAGAAAACAACGTCCACCAACTCATTGTCTGAAATGTCACCGATTTGAACAGACAGAACAACGTTTGGAATGGGGAAGTTGACCACAGGTCTGTGTCTTGTGTCATCACCGTCTGTACCAAAGTCGTCGTGTGTAATGTAACCCTTGGAGAGCCTTTTTGACAACACCGCTTGACCCTCAGAGTCTAGATCTTGTTCTAATTCGTAGACCTCTTCTGGATTTGCATCGCCTGTTTCAGAGCTTCTGATATGTGGAGTTAAATCCATCTTGAGTGCTGTAATGTAGTCCCACTCGTTCAACTTAGGCGCAATCTTCACTGCGTATTTTTTGGGTACGGCCAATTTGACCCATTCATTCCGAAATGGTGATACAATGTACTCTGAGTCTACAGTGTACTTTCCCATGTACAAGTCATAACGAACAGATCCCGTGTTTATGATGATAATCCTGTTATCATTGGACAGGGCAGCGCTGTCCTCACTTGTGGAATTTAAAGTAGGCAAGACTTTATCGGTGAAAAATTTAAAGATATTCTTTGGACTGGTTAGAGGAGCGTAATCCAAGTAGTAGTTGCTCTTCTTGACATAGCCAAGAACTTTGTTTAATTCAAGGTCTTTGCGAATGGACTTAATTGACGAAGAGATATTCAAACCCTTTTCTGTGTCAAACTCTTCAATGGATGATTGTCTTGAGTGATGCAAGAAGGAATCGAGGTTAAAGTCGATGTATGAGCGGGAAAAGAATGACTTGGCATGTCCCAATACGTCTTTGGATTTACCAATTTCAGTAGAACTGCTGGTCGATGTGTGGTTCACACTTACCCATCCCACAGTTTCACAGAACCTTCCGCTCTGCAAGCCGGTCAGGTTCTCGTCAAAGACCAGGAAATCTCTGATATGACTGTGCCCCCCAAAGTACTGGATCTTGATCTTGGGATACACCTTTCTCAACTGCTCATGCAAATAGGTTAGCTCCTGCCACGAGTGTGCTACAGGAATGTGGCCGAAAACAACCAACAAATCAACCTTATCCTCCGGGAACTCGTGGACAACACCTTCGGTAAACCACGGCTGCTTGATGGACTGCTTAATGGGTGTTACCCTTGTTCTCTCGTTGGCTCTGTTGAAGTCAAACAAAAACGAAAGAGCCAAGATTCTGGTCTTAGCGTTTTTGGTCTCAAAGTACCTGTATCTGTTGCCAAATGGGACGAACGTACCATTGTCTAGTTGGTACTCCACATTGGACGAAACATATTCGTCTTTAAAGTGGCTCACCACCAATTCGTATTCTTGCTGAGAGTTCTCCACTTCGTAGAGCTCGTGGTTCCCGATGGTGACCAAGTCGTAGTCCTGTTGGACAAATATGGGGAGAGACTTGGCGCCGTTGGGTGTTGTAGCGTCGGATAACCCATTGCCATCGTGCCTATCACCGGTATCGACCACAATCAAGTCCTGTCCGTTGACATGTGCAATGTCTCTCAAGTGGCTCACGAAGGAAACAAACTGTCCCCAGTTGGCATGGAACTGTGGCTGATTCAAGTGCCCTGAGTACCAACCGTGCGTGTCTGTGGTTTGGATGAAGTTGACCTGCCCCCAGGTCAAGTCTTTGATCAAGGGAAGGTCGCCCCGCGACGGATAGTGCACCTTTTCTGAATGGTTACCTGGTAAGATCACAAATTGGAATAGAAGGACAGTGACCAAGAGCCCCAAGAAGAGGCCCGGTCTGTAAATTTTGTGGAAAGTGGTAGAATCCATGCCGTTAGTAGTCACTAGTGAAGTGCCAGCAGCCAGGGAACAAAAGCTAGAGCACAAAATACACCTACAAGAGCAGTACAGGGAGCCACCTCTGGTGACCGTATGGGTTATCACGTAGAGAGGGAGATAAGACTGCATACAAGCAAAAGAGCCACTCCCGCAGAGGGAGGGTTTGCTACATGCAGGATTTCTAATGATTATATGCAGGACATCATCAGGACAGCCCACGAGAGCTCTCCACCAGGCCACCAGGCCCTACACTTGCTGGTCCAGTCCCCTGCTGGCGGCCACTGAAGCAGGGAGTCCTACAGCGCTACAGTTCTACACCCGTCACACGTTTGTTTACAAATATGTATTACATCAAAATGCAAAATCCAACGCAAACCCGCTTATAAACCGGATTGAGCTCTTCTTCTGTCACGTTCTTCAGAAATGGATAACTTAATACCCTTACCCTTTGGCAAGGAGACCCATGGCTTACCAGCTTCGGTACCAATAACGAAAACGTTAGATAATCTGGTAACGAAAGTGTTTTCCAAGGAATCCTTGATGTGGACTAAATCGAAACCACCCTCGTGCTTTTCTCTGTGAGTAATAGCACCAATTCTACCCAAGTTACGACCACCGGTAACCATAACTAATCTACCAGTGTCAAACTTGATCAAGTCGGTCATCTTACCAGTAGCCAAGTCAATCTTGATGGTGTCGTTAGCTCTAACCAATGGGTCTGGGTATCTGATGGTTCTACCGTCGTGGGTAACAACGTATGGGATACCTCTCTTACCTAATTGGACCTTCTTGACCTTACCTAACTTGTAAGAAGCTTCTTCAGCGGTGATTCTGTGGACAGCGAATCTACCCTTGACATCGTATACCAATCTGAAGTGTTCGTTGGTAGCTTCCAAGGTGATGACATCCATGAAACCAGCTGGGAAAGTGGAGTCGGTTCTAACCTTACCGTCAACCTTGACGTGTTCTTGCATAAGGATAGCCTTGACTTCTCTACCGTTAAGAGCATACTTAAGTCTGTTTCTTAAGAAGATAACTAATGGTAAAGATTCTCTCAACTTATGTGGACCAGCGGATGGTCTTGGTGCATAAGTACCACTGAGTTTGTCCAACATCCAGTGGGATGGAGCGGCTAATCTCTTGAGATGCTTCTTTGGTCCTCTACCCATTTTTAATTACTTTAATTTGGTTGATATAGAGTAGAACAGTGTAGAAGTAAAGTTGTTAATGATGGAGCGGGTTTTTTTTTTCAGTGTAGCAGGCGCTGGCGCGGGAGCGGGTGCAGAGCGGAAAATTTTCGCATCAAGAGCGGGTATGCAGGAGGAGGAGATCACGTGACGGACAGGGTACAGCCCTAATGGTTGCAATCAGTGCACAGTGTACCTGGCCAGGGTATGGTGGTCAGTGTGACAGGCAGTGGGTCGTCTTAGGGTGGTGCGGTGAGCCATTCAATGTAGTCCTACTGTGAACGGAATGGCAAAATAAGTGTGTTCCTACGTTGCACACTGACTGTATGGTTGGTCTAATGTCTACTAGGAATTTTCCACTACGAGTGTTCTACAGCCGGTGCTCTACAGCTACAGCCGGCACTCGCCAGTGCAAGACAACCAGTGCTCTACAACCAACGGTCCACCAGTGGTCCACCAGTGGTCCACAAAGCTCCACAGTGGCCTACATCTCCCTTCTTTGATTGTTTTCTTTATTAATCAACCGTAATTTACCCTATACTTTCATACTGCAGCATCCCTACCATCTAAACCATTTCTTGTTACCCTTTAAGATATCCAATTCGGAATCCAATTCTGCCTCCTCGGCCAATAGACCTTCCAACTCATCTTCTAGGTTGGCAAATTTCTCTGTCTCTTGTGCATTTTTCAATAACAATTCATGAATATCGCTTTCGATGTTGGTAGGAAGAGATGGGGACTTCAACCCGTAGCCCTCCACATCATCAAACCCCTTCCCACTATTGGCATCATTTTCGATTTCCATTTTAGACTGCAAATCTGCCAAGTCCTCCTTTGTTTGCTCTATCATTCCCTGCAAATCAAGGTTGTCATTAACGACTTCTGGAAGCGAAACTTTAATGTCTACCATTTCCTGCACAATCTCAACGTGATCTCTATGTAAGTTGGAATACAGGGTCTCCAACTGCTTTATTTCGTGTCTGAGGATGCCATTCTGCTCTCTCATACTTTCAATCTCCGATTCTTTGGACTTTTCATTTATGTAGATGCTTTCAAATTCATTCTCAAACTTCTTCAAGTCGAATGGTAGAACGTTGATAGTCATGGAATCGATCACGAGCTGATCCAACTTGTAGTATCCGTTGTTGTGAGGAGAGCTGTTGCTGGTTTGAGATATGGAAGATGAGTTTCTCTTACCAAGAATCGAAAATCTTCTTGACACCGATGCTGTCCTGGAAGACCTAAGTCCCGTGTTGGAACTGCCACCTGCACCGTTCAGAGATTCTTCTACATACTCCTCGTTCACGTAGAAGTTGAACAACTTGTCCTTCAAGAACTCGATCAACTTGTCGAACCTCAACGTTAACAAGTTCAGTTCGTTCTTCACCATCAAATTGACCGCAAACTTCAAGATAGACTCCATCCCCTGGGTGATGACGATATCATAGATCCTCAACACAATATCAAGCGGGAACTTGTATGCAAAAAACGTCAAGAACCACTGCAGAGCGTACATCGAGGACTTGATCCCCTGCTTCACCAAATGGTTGAACAACCGTGGGCAGTACATCTCCAACAACCTATCGAATTGATACAAGAGCAAATGCAACCCCTTCATCTCAGGGCAGAATAGCGATCTCAAGTTGTATTCTTTCATTATAGTCACCAATAAGCAAAAGCACTCGCTGTCAGTCATATTCATGATCAAGGGCACTCCAACGAAGATCATTCCCTGGGTGTAGCCCACGTCTGGGTCAAACAACGAGTACGCCTTGATCACATTGAACAACTCTTCGCTCTTCCCGACCTGTTCCACGTGTGTGAAGAAGGACGTTCTAGTCAAGTCTCGCTTGATGGCCTTCTCGTGGATGGACGTGTCGTTCTTCAAGTGTATGTAGAACTCTTCCAACTGGAAGTTCTTCAGCTTACTGATCAATTGCCATATGATCCCTCTGAACTCCTTGGGGATCCCCCGCGTGATCTTGTTGTTCAATTCGTCGCTCTCGTTCATCACCACGGACTGGTAGTCGTTGACCACCCTTGTCCAGAAGTCCCAGTCAATCTTGTACCCAAACATATCGCCAAACCCACCCACGGTGTTCTTGATGTCGTTGAACGTCTTCTTGATGTTTTGAGTCCCTGTGTTGATCAATTCCTTCAGCTTGGAGTCCTTCGCCTGGAATTCCTTGTCCAACTGAGAGAACTTCAGCTCTAGAAGGTAGTTGGAAGCGGACCGTAGCTCACTCGAAGCACTACGCACATGGACAGCCTTGCGGGTCTTGCCAATGACCAATGACTCTGTCGAGTCGACCAACTGTGCAGTGGGCAAGTCCATTCTAAGGCAGTCCTTGATGGGCTTCCTATCTGGGAGCGGCGGTGACGAGCTGGCCGTCGTTGTGGTGGCCTGGTCATGGATAGAAGGGATGATAGAAGACCTGTCGTCATCGTTGTCATCGTCTTGACCATAAGCTTCTATGAATGTCTCCTCTGGCCCGACTGCTTCATCGTTCTCTTCGTAAACAGCACTTCTGTCATCGTACACCGAGGATGCACCACTCTCTGGTACTCCTACCGATAACAAGTCCGTCGAACTGGCATTGGCGCTGTTGTACGTGCCATCCTGGCCATTGGCCTTCTTCTTCTTCTTCTTGTTCTTCTTCTTGCTCTTACTCTGGCTCTCTGAATCGCCTGGAGTCTCAGGTCCAGGCTCAGCTGCCACGTCAACCTCCCGCTGTCCCACTCTCAGCTCTTCCACTGCGTCATGGAAGTCGTCGTCTTCTGCCATGTTATTCGTCTGTAGTTGTACAAGTTAACAGACAGCGTGAAGAAGAACGGATAATATTGTCTATTGTCACTAAACTTGGTGTCGTTGTCTGGCTGTCACCAGAAATCCAAAGTTCCGGAAACTCCACAAAACTGCTGCACCCAAACAAACACAGAAATAAAAAATACCCAGAAACGTGAATCTAGAAATCCTGCAGGATAGGCGTAATGTAGGAGAGGTAATAAAGCTAGAGTGTAAGGTAGATAGAGAAGTCGGGGGGATACGTCAGAGATATATGGGCTTGTTCGGGGAGTTGGCCGCCTTTTGTCACTTTGCGCCAGCCAGGCATATTTGCACCAACCTGTCATCTTTGCTGTCTATTGACAATTCCACTTGTTTATGCAGCATTTATTTTTCTTCCTCTTGGATTAATTTGTCGCATGCCGATCTCCTGGTGTCGCTGTCACACAAGTGTCAAGCTTCTACGACCAACAGATCAACACTCTTCTTCTACCCGTGGCACGAAGAATCTCTCACTATTAACCGCCACTTTGCGACAACTTATATTTACTGTCTATGGACAACTTGTTTCTACTGCATTTTTTTCTTCCTCTTGCATTAATTTGTCGCATGCCGATCTCCTGGTGTCGCTGTCACACAAGTGTCAAGCCTCTACGACCAACAAATCAACACTCTTCTCTACCCGTGGCACGAAGAATCTCTCACTATTAACCGCCACTTTGCGCCAACTTATATTTACTGTCTATGGACAACTTGTTTCTACTGCATTTTTTTCTTCCTCTTGCATTAATTTGTCGCATGC